ATATATATAAATCACTTTATTGATTTTACCTTTCAAAATAAAAGCAAACTATGACAACAATGTCTCTCCCAGGGGTCTTGAACCTGCAGCTCAGGGGCCACATCTTTGGTTTTTCTCTTTATGGCTTTGATCAAAAAATAAAACTCGTTGGAAAATATTTATATTTAGAAGAAGCACAACAAGAAACACTAATTGTAGCAGTTCTCTTACTCAATATTCTACAATATACAAATAAGATTTCTGTAACTGATTGATACTATTATTATATTACACATATATTAAATGTATTATACATTATTATTATATTATAATAATTATTATTATACAAGAAAAGCAAACATATCAGTTTGTCCTAATGGTTTGTTAGCCTGTTTGGTGTTTTTCTGAAATCCACTACAAAAAAAAACAAAACATTTTAACTGAATTAAACCACAGATTTACACATCACTATATTGTGAAATATTGGAGGGTTTTTGTTCTTCTTGTAATGACTTGCCATGTACATGTAGAATAAAAGCTGCTCTTTCATTAGATTTTAAGCAAAGTTTTAGTAAATAAAAATATCAATTGTTATTGTAAAATCTTCAGTCAGTCGCAATAAAAGTTTGGGCTTTTACTTTGTCCTAAAATGTTAAAACACTGATAAATGTTTTGTTTAGTTGCATTACTTTAGTTAAATAATAGCCTTTATTTGTAAGTAGGTTCTGTGGTTCTGCAAAAAACTTTAGTGGAGAAAGGGGCAGAGAAGGCTCCACTGATTTTCAGGATTGCAGACCCCTGGTCTATTCTTAAATGGCATAAAGTAAATAAAAACAAAATTACTGTAAATATAAACACATACAAGTGTTTAAGGTAGTTTTAATTTAGGAGACAGGAGCACTGTCATGCTGGTTTAATAATAATAATAATACTTTATTTATAAAGCCCTTTAAAACAACCACAGCTGCAACAAAGTGCTGTACATATATGTTTAATTGGACATTAATGGTTTAATTTTGTTGATTTATCTCTAGTCACATTTCGTGTTCTCACTGTAAATAAAACTTGTGACGTTCAGCACATTTTTACCATTCATTCTATCCTAATACATTAGGAAGTAACTTGACAAGTAATATTTTCGTTAAAAACATTCAGTGATGCATCATGTTAGTAGAGCTGCAGGTGTTAACGTCCACACCTGACAATAAAGTTACTTAGTTCAAATGCAAACTGGCTACAGACGGCCATCGCTCACCATATTGTGTCGGTACAGGGTCAGGCTGAAATGTAAAGTGGGCCGCGTGTCTTCGTTGCGTTTTTAAACGGGAGCTGCAGTTCGGGGACAGTTTCAGTAAAGCGGCTCCCAAAGACCTTTGGGTGCCGGTACCGATGCCGGAAAGTTTCGAGTTTGCACCTCGGATGAAGAACCGAGCAGCGGCCGCCATCACTGTTGTCCAGGAAGGGCAAGTGTGGAGATCGTCTAGTACGAAGACAGGATCACTCGGTTGGAAAAATGAAGACTAAATTACTTTCATACTTTCTGCTTAAGCTAAATTTCTGACTACATGTCAAAAAACAATTTCCTCAGCATTAAGGCAAATTAACCTGTTTAAATATCACTTTGTGTAACTATGTCAACACAAGAGGCAATTTTTGAAATGCAGTATCCTGGAAAAGTGTCGGAGTAAGGACTCTTCTTTCTGCGCTCGCCATCTCGTCACGTTTGAGCGAAGACTGTGATTGGTCGAAAAGGAGGGTGGCGCGTGTGGCCGGCATAATCCTACTGCGCATGCTCAAGTAGCAGGGCTATGCGTCTAAATACCACTACCTTCCTGTAAAATATGTATAATAATCAGTGGTGAAAATCGGTCATTTTAGATCAATTGGGAGTATTTTTATTAGATAATTTTAGTCAGGGGTTGTAGTGATTTTATGGAAACGTACTTTTTCTGAAAATAAGCTGCCCAGCTCCATCAGAGTAAACTTTGGTCTTGGTTGTTCTGATTTAGTAGAATCAAACAAAAAAAAAAAATCCAGTTAAATTCCAGGCTGTGGGAAAACAAAATAAAACATTTTAATAATGTGAAAGATTAAGACAAAAGCGTGGACATTTTTTTTTTCCATAGTAACATTTTGTTTTAGTCCCAAGCCAACAGCCTCAGACCTGATGGCGATAAAATCACAGAATGCTTTTCACCTCTACAGTACACATCATTTCTCTGAACTTCAAGGTTCGCTTTCTTGTGAGGTTATGAACACTTGAAACTTGTTTTATGTTAATCCTGAATAAAATGTAGTTGAATAATGAAAACTACATGTTCAAATCCCTCTTTCATGCAGCTAGTTATTTATTAACCTTATTTCACCAGGCAAACCCCACTGAGATCACAGATCTCTTTTGTAAGGGAGTCACAAGCACGAGTAGAACATGCAAACTCCACCCAGGTCCAACCGGGGATTGATCCCTGGACCTTCTTGCTGTGAGGCAACAGTGCTAACCACTGAGCCACCGTGCTGCCGTACGTAACTGTATACAAAAATGAAAAATATAACCCAAAACATACAGGTGTAGTATTTTACTGTGATTTAAGTAAAAAGTCTGCACAACTTCTACAATTTCTTTTAATTGCTATTCATGTGACCAAAAAAATTAAATGATGCATCTCCTCATGCATCTCTTGTCGGCTGCCACAACTAAAACAACTCTTAAAAATAACATTGTTTATTCGTTAAACTATATATGCTGACCACTAAAATGACTGTGTATAAAAATAACCACAGATTTGACATGTCCTGCAGAACACAGTGATAGTGGTTAAGACAATGTTTGAAGGGTTGTTACGGCGATGACTTTGCACACTCTGCCACATCCAGCCTCCGGCCACTGCTGCACATTTTTGCCAAATTCTGTAAGAAGCAGAAAACTAGGTTAGCACTCTTAGGTGGCTGATGTTTAAGATGAAGTTCTACAAAATAAAGCTTACGTTTGCAGCTCGGACGATGCTGTTTGGAGACTGGAGGGCTGCCAGATCTGTTAGGATCCTCTTCAGATCGCTGTTAGAAGGTGGTACTGAAAGAAGAAGAAACGCAGTACAGTAAGAATCAAACGGTGGTTAGAAAATCTCCAAGTGGGGATTGGTTCATACGTACGTGGCTCAGGTGATGGCTGTGGCTTCAGCTTGAGGTACGAGTGTTCCAGCAGCTCTGCAATCGAAATTCTTTCTCTGGGGTTTCGAACCAAGCACCTCTGGTGAAGACAAATAGAAACATTTGAGCGTGGTGTGTCCTTATGATTACCGCCCGCCACCGAACCACTGGACAGATTTGAATGAAACTTTCAGAATACAAGTTTAAGACGAGTATCTACATCTGATAAATATTTGGAGCCAATCCCACTCAAGACACCCACCACAGCTGCAACACCAAACAACTCAGCCAGTTTTACAGCTATTGGGCTCAAAGTTGGTGTGGTGGTGGCTGAGAGTCCTCTTGAAAGCAAGACATCTTTGCTTAAGACATTAACATATACTGTTAAGAGTTAACAATGTCAGCCTGTTAGCAAAGTTTCTCTCACACCTCTGGACAGATTTAACAAAAAATATATATATACATAATATCATTGAATGTACAACTGATCAACATCTGGAACCCAAATCAAGATGGCTGCCACAGCTAATCTATAAATTGGCTTAAAAGCACTCAAAATTGCAGAAGCTGGGGTAAAGTTCATGTGGTAGTAGCTGAGAGTTATCCTCAGTATATACTCAGGGCATTACAAGTTTATTGAGATGCAACTATGGTGAACAGATGTTGTGGCCATTTTGAATTTAAACTTCACCATGAAGGACAGATAGACCTTTATTGTTTCATTCAGCAGTGTTTTATGTTGCAGACATGATGGATTAGAGCCGTCACTTCAGGCCTCATAGAGAAAACTCTGCGCTCAGAAATAATGGGAGTTGAGGGTGCACACTGGGGTCTTGGGGGGGATTTGGAAGAAAGCCATAGGATAAAGAAGTAGGAGGAGTGAAAGACAAAGCATCTACATTTTGATGTTTCAACTGTAAAAGGAAACGTTTGTGAAGATAACAGGAGCTTGTTAGGAAAGTTTAGCAAGCTCCCACTTCAGTTATAAAATTGGCCAACAATAAAATTACATTTGAACTCGGGCGATATTCAAGCCAAGAATGACGCCAGTATCAGAGGCGATACATAACTACGATGACATCACCTCCAACTCTCGTATATATGTGAGTCACAAAAATAATGTCTGCTCACCTTCAGCACATCAAGTAAATCCTTCTCAGGGATATCAGGGAAGTCGATCGTATGAGAAGGATTGATGATGGCGTGCAGCTTGGAGATCTGATTTGTGATGCTTTGGAACGGAGTCTTGCCGTAAGTCATGCAGTACAGGATGCATCCAAGGGACCACACGTCACCTTTGGGGCTGATCTGTGTGACAACATCCGTTAGTTTGACCTTTTAACAATATTTGTATTGTGCTGTTAACAAAAACTCAGCACAACACCGAGTCTGCACTTATGAAAGTTTTTAATTACGGTACATTATTTTAGCCACAGACTAATCGGTGTGTTGTTTAATGCTGTTAGACCCAGCAGCTGCCTTGGATACAGTGGACCAGCAGATCTTCTCGTCTTGCCTGGAGAACTGGGAGTACATTCAGGGTGCTGCTCTACAGCGGTTTAGATTTTACTAAACAGAGAGAAGCTTTTGTGTTCATCTATGAGCTTTTGAGTCCTCTGTAGTGACTCTCACGTGTGGAGTACCACAGGGCTCTATACTTAGCCCTCTTCTTTCCAGTTTATTTATGGGATCTGTTACCTGAAAACATGGTGTTGCTTTCCATTTTTATGCTGATGACAACCAAATTCATGTGGCACTAAAATAGGAAAAGCAATACACTGTGAACCAACTCCTGGAATGTGTTGAAGAAGTCAAAGCATGGATGTCCCTGAATTTTTTTTTTACATTTTAATGAGCAAAAGACAAAGGTGTTGTTTAAGTCCAGTAATGATTCCAAAGTTAGATCTAGGCCCTTTAACGCAGCATCTGACTCAGAGAGCAACTAACCTGGGTGTGAGGCTGGACAATGATTTTAAACTTGATGGATGGACTAAATCAGGGATCAAGTCCAGCTTTCATCACTTAGACAACTGGTCAAGGTCAAACTCTCTTTCACGACATCATTTTTGACATTTTAATTCATGATTTTATTACTATTTGTTTAGACTACTGTAATTCACTTTATGTGGGTCTGAGCCGGTCTTCACTGACTTCAGCTGATTCAGAACGCTGCTGCTCACCTTTTAACTGGTAGCAGAAAACAAGAGCACGTCACACCTGTTTCAGAATTACATGGGCTCCCAGTTGGTTTCTGGATTAATTGGAATGTTATTTTATTTGTTTTCAAATGTCTTAATGGTCTCACCCCACAGTATCTGTCCGACCTGCTCCAGGTGTACGTTCCCTCACGCTCTCTCAGGTCAGCACATCAGTTGCTGTTGGTCATTTCAAAATCAAAGAGAGGGCTGAGAGGTGACGGAGCGTTCAGTCGCTGCCCCTAAACTGTGGAACGAGCTGCCTCTGCACGTCAGACAAGCTGACTCACTTCCTGTTTTTAAATCTCCTCTGAAAACACTGTTTTTCTCCTTGGATTCTAACTCAGCTGGAGATGTTGGCTTTTGTTGCTTGTCCTTTTTATGATTTTAATGGTTCACTATTTTTACTATTTTCATTGATTTTATTGTTATGCTTTTGTTTGCTTTATGTGTTTTTATCAGTGTACAGCATTTTGACCAATGGTGTTGTTTTTAAAGTGCTTTATGAATAAAATATATTATTGTTCAACAAGGTTGAGTCAGGCCCTGGACAGATTGTTTTTAGTCCAAACGGTTCGTCTTTTATCCAGAAGACTTCTTCAGTCTGAGGAGCTGCAACAAACTCAGTCTCATAAAAGCCAGTGTTTATCGCTGCATACAAGACTGAGTTTGTTGCAGCTCCTCAGACTGAAGAAGTCTTTTGGATAAAAGACGAAATGTTTCAACAAAGAAGAATCCATCCAGAGGACCTGACCCTTGTTAGATTGCTCTAGCTGGATTATTGAGCATTAATCAGGACATATTGTAAAAAGAAGAAGAGTACCTTGAAGCGAGCTTTTCCTGGTTGTGATGACGTGTCTTTGATGGCTTCAGGAGGCATATAGTTCAGGGTTCCTACCTGTGGGGTCAACATGTTCAGACACAACAAGGAAGTGTTTCCTGGATTAATATGCTTTTATCATTTTGAATGAATTTCTCCCACCAAGTTAGGCCTGTCACGATAACAAATTTTGCTGCGCAATTAATTGTCTCAGTAATTATTGTGATAAACGATAATATTGTTTGAAATTTGACAATAAATAGTAATAATTAGTAATTATTGTCAAATTTAAGAAATATTGGTTAATTTTTGTGTTTACGGTAGTGCATTTTTTTAACCACTGGATGACAGTACAAGACTGTCTGAACCGAAAGATGGATAGTGAGGGAGTGAGCAGCGTGTCTCTAAGAAAAATGGGAGGGAGGCCCCTTGACGTGACATGGGCTGTCTCTCCTTCCTGTTTTTCTGTTCTCAAAATGGCGGACACTCTGTGTGGTTTGAGCTCTTTAGCATAGCATTTTTCCCACAAAGCTTTTAATTAAAAAACCAGAACACAAGTTCTCAACTTCTTTTTGCAGAGAAAAACATATTTTTACATGAAGGCACAGGTTTCAACTGTGAATTTAGGAGCTTCGACAAGACGGAGGTTTTTTCCCCGAGGTCGACCTGTTAGCTTAGCTTGTAGCTTAGCTTCTCAACCTAGCTGCTTTTAACGATCCAAAAATGTGATTTTCAACGGTTAAAACAGATTTTAAAGAGAAGAGAGAAAGGGAGGGGTCAGTGAAGAGCACCGGAGTTGAGCTTTTTGTCATCCAGTGTCTTCAGTAGAAAGAGAGAGACACGAAGAAGTGATAAAGCCAATAAATGAAAATGAGGTTGATAATTTTCATTTGTCATGCGATTGATTGATTTATTGTTTATCGCGACAGGCCTACACCAAGTTTCATTAATTTTGTTCATCATTTCAAATATTTGATCGTTCCAAGACAAAATCCAAACCAACAATGGACAAAGTATTCATCGGAAGTATGACTGACCTGGGAATCCTTCATAATGCTCGTCACATCAGGTTGGATTCTGTTTGCGATGCCAAAGTCGATTAGCTTCAGTGACGCGTTCACAAAGACAAAATTAGCTGGCTTCAGGTCACTGTGGATGATTCCTGCAGAACACACACACAAACACATTGATTACAGGTTTCTTTCCAGTCAGGGTGAGCACTGAGTCCATGGAGCAATAAAGAGAGAACCGTGTCTGTGGATGGTGTGGACGGCCTCCAGCATGTTCTTCCAGTAGTACTTTCTCTCAAGCGGGTTCACAGTTTTGCGTTTTCGCAGCCAAGTGTTCAAATCCAGGTTTCCACATTCCATCAACATGTATATGTAGCTGTTTGTTATTTCACTGCAAAAACACACGGAACAATATTGTAAATATATAGTTTACACAACAAAACTGACCGTTTCTGACTGGGAGAACAATTAAACTGGAAATGGTTTGATTCCTCAGCAGATAAAGCTTTCCACTAATGTAGACGTGGGCAATTTATGGCTCCAGAGCCAAAAGTGGCCCTTGGATACTCGATGTGATCCAACCCCCAGGAGTTTTAATTTAAAAACAAACAACTTTTAAATAAGGTGATGAAAACTTGCATTTTATCAATGAAATTTAATAAAGTCTATTAAACATCTTGGACAAATATGTTAAAGGTTAATTCCACTGAGCCTCAGGGACTTTACAAGAGAGACCTGATTTCTTAACAAAGAGTGACAACAGTGGATAACGACGAGAAGAATAGAAGGTCCCAGGATTAGACTGAACAGACCCTAAAATCAGACTTAGATTAACTAAAATATTGTAACAAGAGCCAGTACAGAAAGTATGTTTTATATTTCAGAAGAGTGTTGGGGAGACGTGTTTTTATCAAGCATGCTACAACAAGAAAAAGCCTCAAGTTTTCCAGATTATCTGTCTGAAAGAAAAATAATTTCCAATTCTCTACAACATGTAAGACATTAATGGTTCACACGTTTTCCACAGAACCCAACTTCAAAATGACCAACATGACATGCGTATTCTAAATGGACCGTGTACTCACTAATCGTAGAGCTTTATAATCTGATCGCTGTACTGCTGAAGGTGGTTCAGATGTTCGATTTCATTTTTGTAACTTTCTATCGTCTGAGCATCTGCCTCCTCCAGGTCCACGTATTTCACAGCAAACTGCTGCTTCTTCTGATCAAAAACCTGGTAGACCTAAAAAAAAAGGCAGCAATAATCAGTTTTAAAAGACGTCTTGAGTTGTGAAACATGATGGTATCACAGGAAGTAAACTTTGTTTTGTTTCACCTTGCTCGATCCACCACGTCCGATCATCTTGAGAATGAAAAACTGCTTCCCGTTTATTGTAATCGATTCATTGGACAAAACACTGAAGGAGCCCTAAAGTGAGATTAAGACGTACAATTCTGAATGAATATCAAGCCAAAGACTTTATAAAATCATAATAGACAATCCATAAATAATATACAGTGGTCCCTCGCTACTCCCTCGTTTTTCGCGGTCTCGCTCTATTGCGGTTTTTCAAAGTAAGACTGAACATGACAATTGGTTGATTGATGGATGAGCCATATTTAAAATAAATTATTTTCAATGATTTAGCACCTGTGTGCAGCCCACAAGTGCAGGGAGAAGCTCCCTCCTGCATTTCTGCTCCGTGCTGCAGCAGCTTCATGAAGAGTTAACTCTTTGCTGTCCAGATGCACCGACCAACTTGTCTTCCAACTTAAAATTCAAAGTAGGTCACATCGTAAAAATCATCATAATCACAACATATAAAAGTGTTAAAAGTTATTTTTAATTATTTTAGAACTTCTGTGTTCAGTTGTTTCAGTGTACTTGATCAAGAAGTACATTTGTGCTCCGTGCTGCAGAGCTGAGGCTGCGTGACATCACTTTGATGTCCTGCTGCACTTCTCTTCTCTACAAGTTAAGTTTAAATACTGTAACATTTTAAATAAACAATCCATGGATTGTTTATTTAAAATGTTACAGTATTTAAATTTAAATGATTTATTTAAGGAGGGAGATTGGGAGTAACAGGTGACGAGTGTGATTACAGCCTGGTGCATGTCATGACAACATTTACTGAACTTGGACTGCCCTAATTCACAGTTTGTCACTTATCGCAGGGGGTGTGGTTTACACAACCCCCACGATGAATGAGGTACTACTGTATATAAATAAATACTAAAATAAACTACTACTTACTACTTGTACTAAACAAGGGACTACTGTATATTAAAAAAATCACTTAATTTGAAATGTAAAGTTTTCTATGGCCCTAATCAGTGATTGTTCCAGTTTAATTTGTGGAGGGGGCGTAACAACAGTCACATATTCAAGTGATCCTACCACTCATTCAAATTTTATTGATCCAGGTTAGTCTCACTGAGCCTCCAGGACTCATTTACAAGAGAGACCTGATATGAAGTACAGACAAGAATAAACTACAGTAAAAATGCAATTAAAATAAAAGCAGTGTTATAAAACAATAAAACAAAGTGCAGTAAAACAAGGTAAAATACTAAAAACAACAACATATTTGCTTTGATGTTTCTATTGACCTTATCAATGTTTAAAATCTGCATACCTGCATAGCTGGATGGTGCAGTTCTTTTTAAACGTGTGTATTTAGAAAGTTTTCCCTGAAATAGCTTTATAATTTACAGATTCACACTGAAACCCATGTTGTTCTTGGTCATTCTTTGAGAGAGAAAATATGAGGTTTTATTTGCACCTTACACAATTTGTACAGCCTGTATTGTATTGAACACTAGATAATCTTTCTGAGGATTACATTTTTATGGGTTTTTTTAAACCATGTGAAATGTTTGATAACCAGTTCTCCTTTACAAGCTTGACCTGGAAAAGAAATTCATACAATGCTTAAAGGGGGAAATTGTGTTCTCTTAACAAGAACTGTATGAGTTGATGAACAAACAAAAGAAAATGTACCCTCTAATGAAGCAATTAGACTGAAAGTTTCCCCGGACATCTTTAAAGACAGATCATCAAATTATCAGGGAGCTGTTAAAGCTGCTTTTTATCCAACGTGGTTTCAAACAACAGCCACAGACTGCAGGTTCTGGTCATGTTGCTGAACCTCCTGCACTGTGTGAACAGGTTGGAGTTTTTTATTGATACAATCTCTGCTCTGAGACCCTCCTCAACAATTTTACACAGACTCTACTTCCTCCATGCTCAGCTGCTTTTGAACGGTTTGAGCCGGTGATTCTTGATGTTTTAAAGGACGGTGTTCCCTCTCGTCTCTTTAAGGAAGTTTTCCACGCTCTTGGTCAGAGGTGGGCAACACTTTTTCCCAAAGGGGCACATCAAGTCGTTTAAAGCAATCAAAGGTCGCATAGAGAATAAGAAAATGAATTTTCTTTATGACAGATCATCAAGAAGACCTTTTTCTTATTGTAGCATAGTTAGCGTTATAAAACAAGTCTTTCCAAAAGCATTTAGGAATATAAGACATATTCTGTAAACTGGCTCTTGTCATATATATTCCACATTAGCTTAACATGTTATACATGTTAGTGGAAATATGCAAAACAAACATGCCTTAAGTATGTCTCAAGTCTTTAAGGTTCTGTCTAGTTCTGGAAACGCAATGACTTGAAAATTGTTTTTTTTTTAGTTTTGCTCAAGTCTCATTGATAAATTGTCGTCTTTTTTTTCTTTTTTAAATCAAACTTTAATTAAAAAGTTATGTTTTTTTGTTTTTGTTTTTTTACTAAGGGTAATGGGGGCCTGATGGAGACTGTCCAAGGGTCACTTTTGGCCCTCAGGCCTCAAGTTGCCCACATGTGCTCTTGGTGCGTTAGTTCTTGTCCTGAGGAACATGTCCCTGTCATCAGGCTGTGTTCCAGCTGCTTTCAAACATGCTGTGGTGCAGCCTCTCACAAAGAAGAACCACCTCGACCCAACACTGCTCTTAAATTACAGACCTATTTATAAACTGACTTATCTGTCCAACATTTTAGAGAAAGTTGTTTTAAATCAACTTTAACTGTTGATGCAGGAAGCCCTGCTGTTTTAGTGCTTTTAGACCGTTCTGCTGCGTTTCATACTGTGGACCACAACATCTTGTTGTCACGACTGGAGCAGGTGTCCGGTATCAAAGGCACAGTTTATACTGGTTTAGATCCCACCTGACTGACGGGAGTTTTTCTGTTCATTTAGGGGAATGTTCTTCAACTCCAGCTCCTCTGATCTGTGGGGTCCCTCAAGGGTCTACCTTAGACCCACTGCTTTTTAATCTCTACATGTTGCCTTTGGGGTCCATTTTTAAAAAGGATAACTTACATTGCTTTGCTGATGATATTCAGTTGTGTTTGACCATTAAGTCAGACAGGGTCACTCCACTGGAACCACTCTTGAACTGTCTAAATGACATTAAAGTCTGGTTAAAACTAAATTTTCTGAATTTAAATGAAAATAAAACTGACGGCATCATCTTTGATAAATGTAACACCCTTGGCCCCTTGTCTTCATACAACCACTGCACTGTCAGGAATCTGGGAGTTATTTTTGATAGTACTTTTAAATTAGACAAACATATAAATGCTGTTGTGAAATCCAGCTTCATTCAGCTAAGACTTATTGCCAAGCTGAAGTCTTGTCTCCCTTTCAGAAACCTTGAAAAGGTGATTCATGCTTTTATTACCTCTCGTTTGGACTACTGTAACTCATTGCATGCTGGTTTAGACAAATCATCTTTGCATCGTTTACAATCTGTCCAGAACGCAGCAGCGGCTTGTCTTTTAACAGCAACTAAGAAACACGATCACATAACCCCTGTCCACTTCCAGATTGATTTTAAGATTTTATTTCTTGTTTTTAAAGTCTTAAAAGGTCTGGCCCTGTCATATTAATGTGACCTTATCAACGTCTACACTCCAGTCACAGCACTCCAGTCTACCAACCAGTTTCTCTTGATGTCCCCAGATCCAAACTGAAATCCAGAGGTGATCGGACTGTTGCGGTTGCTGCTCCAAAACTGTGGACCAGTTTACCTGATCATTTAGAGACTGCTCAGACTGTTGAGACTTTTAAATCTTTGCTCAAGACTCATCTTTTGTCCTGGTCTTTGATCCATGCAGTCTGAGAACAAGTTAGAGCTGATTTTTGTTTTGTGTTGTATTTTATAGTCATCGTTCTTTATTTTATTATTTTTTGAATGGCACAAGATGTATTTTTTTACTCTTTTTAATCAGACTTAAGTGTAAAGCACTTTGGTCAGTTTTTGTTATGTGTTATAGAAATAAACTCACATTGACGCACTAAACAAAATCCACACCACATGATCGTCCACCATAAGCTGGACACAGTGGTGTGAAAATGAGTGGTAGGCTGTAAAGAAAATGGTACCTGTGAAGTCTGGAAACCAGTTGCTTGGGTTAGAGGTGTGCATGGCTGCTGAATGGGTCCAGTTCTGTGAGACGCTACGACAGAAGATGGCACCTCCAAACCTCGGTTTACAACAGGAGTTATAAAACTAAGAGACAAACGGAGAATTAAATATCAGGGTTATGTCTATGCACTTGATCATCCTCAAAAACAACAACAAAAATCCTTATAAGGCAATCAAGGCCAAGCTATTTGTAGAATTTCTGAGTAATTCAAAGCCACTCCTAGAATTCAAGCAAGTCAAGATCTTACCTGTTTGCACTTGGGTTTGTGCGGCCACTAGGAGTCTGGCAGACAGATGGTGGGTTCAGTCTGGACGGAAGTTGGACAGAGGGGGTCACCAGATAAGGAACGGGCTTGGGATCAGGAGGTGTTGTCCTTTCAACCTGTAAACAGACACAAAAACAGTAAATAGTTTTGAAGTATAAAGATTTTGAACAGCTGTTAAAATATAATAAAATAAGATAAAATATTAGAATGGAATTAATCCACCAAAATATCCACTGCTATATTCCACATACGTTTACAAAGTTAAAACATTTACAAGCTCGTTGTAAAGACACCTAACAGACCTCTGGGAAAACGTGCCGAGTGATGAAACCTGGAACCTTCCGCTCTGATACCAGCTCCTTGTGGGGAGGTTTGACTGGTTCCACCGAGTGGGTCACAGGGACCCGGGATGGAAGCTGTACTTCCTGGTGTCCCCCACACGAGGGCACACTTTCTGAAACACCTGCTGGCAAATGGAAGACAAACACAAATAGTTCTCAGGAAAAGTTGAAGGGTGCTGATGCAGCTACAGCCTGATATATAAACTGCCCAATATTAATTTAACACTTACTTTTTCAAGTACCAAAATAACGTGACCGGACAAGAACACAGGTTGAAAGCTGCACACACAAATTAACTGGGATTTTCAAAAACCAGACAGCTCAGCTCAAAACTGCAATACTCATAGTTCAACGAGACTGCAACTGAAAATGTATTTTTCCCTCATACGGAGTCACGTTTGAGTTGTCAAACATTCAGTGGCAGAACTGTTTGGTGGCCGTGCTTGTTTTATGAGTCTACAGTGATTCATGTAAGAAACAGGACAAGTTAAAATACTTTCACTTCAAGTTTAGGCGAGAAAATTCTGATGTAAGATATAATGAAGGTCAATAAGAGTTTGAGCACTTAGGAATCACGAGGTCATTTAGCAGAGAGACACCCGTGGCGAAATATAAACATTTCTGCATTTTGAACGATAGACGATAAAATAAGTGTAAATTTGTTGTAAAAAGGAAAGTCTGCAAAGATTTTGGAAAGTGTAGACAAATTTAAAGTTGTTGCATCACACTATAAATTAAACATTCTGTGGTAAAATCTTCAAAAAAAACATAAAACTTTATGGAAAACTATTAATATCAAAAAGCCAACTCAGTCACTTCAAGTCCAACTTTGTGCAACCCATTTAAATCCTACGTTTCATTATAGAGTGGCTAAATGTGCACAATAGTTTTATCAAAATACAACTGATGTGCAAATAGAATAGTTGTTGTTTTTTTTCCCAGTTTTATGAATTTTGTCTACTTTGTATGACATTACAAAAAGTCCTAGCACATTATTCACATTTAGACTGTAGCATTTGGTGAAATGTTTTAAAACTTCCCAAGGTTGCAAAAAAAAATAATAATAAAATAAATAAAACTTGTGACAGAAACAAAATATTAAGTATTAGTTTAAAAATAAAAGTGGAAAAGTGAAAATATCTGACTTTCAGCTGCACATGGATCGCCCATCAGTGACTCTGTGCAGGGGTCCTCCTCCTTTGGGGGCACCAGTAACATTTCCCCAGCTTTAAGGTTGCGTATGGCTGTGTCCAGCAGCTCCACTGGTTTGGCATTTTGTGTCAGAGCTTTGTGCAGAATCGAAGCTGCTTTCGCTGCATTATCTAAATGAAGAAAGAAAACTATTATTATTTCATTACAATCTTTAAAGACTAAAACAAGCACAACAAAATCATACAAGTTGGACACGACGACATTTTGAATTATATATTTATTAGTACATAATCTGAAGGAAAAATCAGTTATTCATTCAACCTTTATTTATGCTTCAAACTGTCTCTCTATATTTTTTTTTTACAAGTTTTCTTTTAACTCTGCCACTAAAGGGGCCAGCACTCCATCTGAAGCAGCCAACTCTGCTCTCGTCGTCATAGTTGTGTGACCAAAATGGCGTCATTTTGTTCTTAGAGCAGCTTCGCCTGCTCATTCTCAACACAAAGCCCAGACCAAACTTTGTCTCACAGGCACCAAGGATTGTGTCACAAGTTTGTTATTGTAGAACTGCGCTCAGACACTCAGCTGGTCGACTCTTCAAACAGTAAATCAGTCAAATGGTCAAAAACTCCTGGATGGAGATCGTGCAGACATCGTGTGTGTGTGGAGGAGTCTGTCTGCTGAAAAGTGTGGCGCTTTATTCATGATGGACTTGTGGCCAAACAGCGGCTGCAGACAGACTGGAGACTCTGGTGGGAAGAAACCTGCTTGGTGATGAATATTGTAGTGGGAGGGGTTACCCAGGAGCTCTGGGTCTGTGCCGTGACTATGAAAGGTGTGTGTGTGTGAGTGTGAGACTGAACACCCTGCAACCACGAGCCGACTGTTCGGCTGCAGATGGAGCATGCTGGGACCTTCACTATACCAGTTTAGTTTTACAGAAGTTAAAAACTTCACCGTTCCTGAGCTGCTCCCAGCCTCGTACCTTCAGAGAGCTCAAACTGGGCATGTGCAACGTGGACGAAAGCGAAACCATTGCAGTTGGACCTCGCGAGTATGAAGTGATCACGTGCTTCATCTGGATCTTCAATGCTACAGGAGGGAAATAAAAAAAAAACAAGTTTTGTCAACTGGATTATTCCTGTAGCCTAACTGAAAATACGCCACACTCCAAAATAAAAAAATGGAATAAAGGTTCAAGCGGACTGACCCCTTCAGTTCTGCATATCGAACAAGCATTCGGGCGTAGCTGGCGTTTCTTCTGTACTGCCTGATGGGCAGCCTGGCGAAGACTTTGGAATAACAGTCCTTGAGCTTATTGAGGAGGCCGGTGTCTGTGTGAGGGTTGCCTCTTTTCTCCAGTTTCATCAGGTAGGCCCAACACGACTCAGGGGAATTGGAACTGATGATCTGATCAAAGACGAAAGTTACGTCTGCAACACAAAACCAGCGTCAGCGCACGTCGAGCACGCAGATCCAAAGTTTTACTGAAAACTGAACAAGCTGCAGGGTTCTGACAGGTGACGCGTTACCTTCCAGTCTGCAGCCTTTTGTGCCACGTGTTTGCAGCAGTGTTGTGGTTGAGTCCCCCTGGTCTTCACCATGCTCATCGGGACTGAAAGTTGGTGGCTGAAAACACAAACAGCCTTTGTTTTGGAATGGAGTTAAACAAGTTCACCCAATAAGCCACAGGAAATTAAACTAGCCTTTCTTGAAAGAATGAATATTGCTCTCTGGCTTACACGCCAACGTTTTAAACACAAACCCTGAGTGCTCAGTTAGTGCTCCGAGTATGTGAAGGAGATGACTCAGCTAGAACCACCCCTGACTGGAGCGCTAATTAAAAATAATAACGGGGTTATAGCCATGTTAGCAATTGCTACGTTGAATTAGTAGTACCAACCATCTGTATTGAGCTGAACCCAAAAGATAACTAGAGAAATTTCATTTCCTGTGAAAATGCAGTGTGAATGCTTATTGCTGAAGAACTTGCTGAAAAACAGCTGAAACGAGCTAAAAACATGCTGAAATGTAGCTGAGATGGAAGAACAAGCCTAAGTTAGCAGAAGAAAGTAGAAAGAACACATTTTTGCTGAATTTGGTTTAAATAAGTAGAAATTAGCACAAAAATGAGGAAATTAGCTAAGAAAGCTGAAACTAATTAATTAATTAATTTATTGTAATTTCCCTCTGGGATTAATAAAGTATTTTTGAATTGAATTGAATTTAATTGAATTAGCAAAACCTAGCTGAAAAGTCAGAAAGAAGCATAAACTACCAGAAAGAAAGACAGCTCAAGTGTGCTCAATTAGGCTGAAAGAAGCAGAAATTAACACAAAATGTAGAAACTTTCTAAAAAAAAAGGCAGAAAAAAAAAAAAAAAAAACAGCTGAAAAGTAGCTAAAAATGCAGAAAGAAGCTTAAATTACCAGAAGCAAGTGAGAGCACATTTTTGCTGAATTTGTCAGAAAATTTAAATGAATGCAAAAAATTGGGAATTCGCTGAAAATGCTCAAATAATCATAAAAAGAGCTAAACAGTAGCTGAAATAGCAAAAACAATAAGCTGAAACTTGCACAAAGAAGCTGAAAGGAGAACAAAACAGCTGAAAAAACAGCTGAAATTAGCTAAAAAAACTGTTTAAATTTGCACAAAGAAGCTGAAAGGAGAACAAAACAGCTGAAAAAACAGCTGAAATTAGCTAAAAAAAACTGTTTAAATTTGCACAAAGAAGCTGAAAGGAGAACAAAACAGCTGAAAAAACAGCTGAAATTAGCTAAAAAACTGTTTAAATTTGCACAAAGAAGCAGAACAAAATGTGAAAGGAGCAGTAAAAGGTTGTAAACACATCTAAAGATTTGAAGGATGTAAAATGAGCTCAATTCATTTTCTGAGAAAAAAAAGTGTCAGAACAGGCTAAATATTTCAAAAAGCTAAAGTTGCACCAATACCAAAAGTCATAGCAGGATTGTCCTGAAAGAGCTGAACGTTTTGATTTATGATTTGGTGAAATAGCACAAAAGTTGTGGAATGAGAAAGATGATGAAAAACGTACGGAAGAAAAATGGATCACGAAAGAGTGAATGCTTCGTGATCATTCACACAATCAGTTAATCAGTTGTAGATGAACACACAGACGAAGAATTACATGATCACCCACCTTTCATGATGGAAGCAATAAAGAAAGACAGAGCAAAGATGCTAAACGTGGTCGACTGTGCTCACCTGATGATTGACAAAATCCCTGTTTTCTGCATTTATTCTCAAAGAAGAGAGTGGTACCATCACACTGCCGTGTGACCCAGAGGTTTGCCTGAGAAGAATTGAACATCCATTAAAACAGGAATAGTACAAAAATACCTCTTGGGGAATTCGTGTTTAAAGAGTCGTGGTTTTACAGAACAAAGCAGAACTGAGAGTGTTGGGATTAAAAGTAGGACTCAAGGATTGACAGCTAGATTATTTATTTTGACATTCATACTGTAGTTATGGTTTCACACGTTTGGACAGAATACAATCTGTCTACGAGTGTCACCAAAATATTGCTTATATTTTTCTACTTATCCCTGTGGTATGCATTTCTATCTTTAATGAGAATGTTTTCACAACATTATAACATTGGCAGATATTCTGACTCAAAGCAAACGCTATTTCAGTCCCTTTCAATCTCTGACCTCAACTGAAACCTCAAATCCAGAGTTAAACTCAAAACTACTCAAGCCACTGGAGTTTTCTGACGTTTTCTAAATGACGTTCAAAAACTTGCTGTTGCTGAATAAGGTGGAACGTCAGCTCATAACTATAACAACCTAAAACTTTTTCAGAATCACTTTTATTGGGCACGTTTGTGCAGAGACAAGGAATATGACTTTGGTTTCAAGTGCTCACAGCGTACAGACACCATGTATAACGTTTAGAAACTTACAGGATAAAAGAAACACTATGTGCATGTAGTCCCTGTGACGGACTTGCGACCCGTCCAGGGTGTACCCCGCCCCTCGCACAATGATTGTTGGACATGGGCACCGGCGACCCCCGTGACCCAAAATGGAAGAAGCGGATAAAAGTAATGGATGGATGGATATGTGCATGTATTAGTATATACAGCCTTTTTAAATAGAATGAAAGAAAAGATAAAGAAGGCAAGTTGTGATTAGGTCTGTCACAATAACAAATTTTGCTGGGTGATCATTTGTCTCAGAAATTATTGCAATAAACAATAATATTGTTTGAAATTTGACAATAATTACTAATTATTGTCAAATTTAAGAAGAAATGTTGGTTAATTTGTTTTGAGTGCAGTAACTTTTTTGACCACCAGATGGCAGTATAAGACTGAACTGAAGGATGGATAATGAGGGAGAGAGCAGCATGTCATTAAGAAAAATGGGAGGGAGGCCCCTTGATGTGACATGGGCTGTCTCTCATTCCTGCTTTCTGGTTTGGTGAGCAAAATGGTGGATGCTCGGTGCGGTTTGAGCTCTTTACAATAACATTTTTCACACAAAGCTTTTAATTAAAAAAAATAAAAAAATCAGTAAACAAGTTCTCAGCTTCCCAACATTTTTCAGTCAGGTCATCTGGACAGTTTCTTTTTTTTGTGCTGAAATATTTCGCTTCGGTCCGGAAAGCTTCATCAGTCAAGGAAGCACACAACAAAACTGATTCTTCCCCCAACAGCTTACTCCAAAGTGGAACAAACCAGTTCTGCTTGTGATAAGATGGTCTCTTTGGTACGCCCCCTCCTCCCTTGCCGGCCCACTTCCTTGTTGACAGTCGTGTCAAAATGGTTGAAAACAACAAAGGCAAAACATTTCAGCACAAAAAAAAAAAGAAACTGTCCAGATGACCTGACTGAAAAATGTTGGATTGTATACCTGGATTATTGAGCATGGACTTTGTTGTTCTCAGCTTCTTTTTGCAGAGAAAAATAACTTTTTACACAAAGGCACGGGTTTCAACCATGAATTTTGGAGCTTCTACAAGACAGACGTTTTTTTCCCCTCCCTGAGGTCAGCCTGTTAGCTTAGCTTCTCAGCTTAGCTGCTTTAAACGATCCAAAAACACGATTTTGGATGTTTAAATTGGATTTTAAAGAGAAAAGAGAAAGGGAGGGGATCAGTGAAGAGCACCTGAGTTGAGCCTTTTGTCATCCAGGGTCTTCAGTAGAAAGAAAAACACGAAGAAATGATAAAGGAGATAAATGAAAATCCATCCATCCATTATCTTTACCCGTTTGTTCCATTTTGGGTCACGGGGGTCGCTGGTGCCCATGTCCAGCAATCACTGTGCGAGGGGCGGGGTACACCCTGGACGGGTCGCAAGTCCATCACAGGGACACATAGAGACAAACGAGACAAACAACCATTCACTCTCTCACTCACACCTAGGGACAATTTAGAGTTACCAATCAGCCTAACATGCATGTTTTTGGTCTGTGGGAGGAAACCGGAGCACCCGGAGAAAACCCACGCATGCACGGAGAGAACATGCAAACTCCACCCAGAAAGGCCCCCGGACCAGGGTTTGAACCAAGGACCTGTTCGCCGAGAGGCAGCAGCTCTACCAGTTGCGCCACCGTGCTGCCCATAAATGAAAATGATGTTGATCATTTTTATTTATCATGTGATTAACTGAGTTATTGTTTATCATGACATGACTGTGATAGTGCAGATATGCTTATTACGGTACTCGTTTCACAGCAGAGTAGCTGGTGTTGAGTTCATCAGAGATCGCCTGGGGGGAGAAACCGTCTCCGGGTCGGCTGTTTTTTTGCTAGTAGCACTCTGTAGCACCAACCTGAAGGTAAAAGTTCTAAATCTGGGCTATTCAACTGGCATTAGGATCAAATCAGGTCCACAGGTGTGCTCAGCTCTGCCCACCAGTGGGTTCATTTTGAAATGAAACTATATTTTAAATCATAAAACAAACTCATTTATTTAATGAGAATAACTGCTGGATGTCCGACCCTTGAGCTCTTGGCTGTCAGTAACGGTGGCCCCTGAGCAGTTTAGTTGAACAGCCCTGATCTAAACATGTTCAGTCAGGTCATCTGGACGTTTCTTTTTTCTTTTCTGAGACGTGCCATTTCCCTCATGTAGGTCTCTGGTAAATCCCAGAGAGTTGACGTGCTTCCAACCTGGATATCAGAGAAAAACTCAGGATCGATGAACACTGTAGAAAAACTGCTTAGGAGTTGCTCTCTGGTGAAAGTAACTGTAGCATAGCAGCAAAGAACCGTGGAAAAAACACAAAGTACAAGCAAGCAAAGTACCAATTAGTACCGCCAAATTACCGCCATCTGAGTTAACTTTTGCAGATATAAATAGATGCAATAAAAAAAACACCTGTTCAAACTTTTGGGAATGGTCACATCAGTTCTTTTGGACACTTTTCCACTGATATTCTCATGGTCGTCATCGTTTTCTGGAATGGAGAATGGTAGAACTGGTACTCTCCCTGGCTACAAAGCAAAAAGAAAACTTCAGCACTCAAAGGACTTTCTGCTCATTAATACTGACCACTGGACTGAAACTCACCAAGCCAAACGCTCTTTTGCTCTGAGATCCAGTTCTCCAGTCTTCATCTGAATATCCAGGCAGTGCCTCCATCCTAACAGCAAGCCAGTCAGAATGACAAGATGCTCTTCTCCAAAAACAAATTACAATTATGAAATGTTTTAATCTTACCCAGTGCTGAAAATACTGGAAAGCTGCAAGTCATCTGTCCCCTCCGAGGTTCTGCCAGATTTCTGAAATTCTGAGGCTTTTTTAACCGAACCCTGAACAAAGCTGCTGACTAATTGGAGAAAAAACATGAAAACAGAGAAAAATATCAAATTTTAGACCTAGCATTCCTAGAACAAATGCATATTGCATAATTGTATTTTAAAATAAACTTGTACTGAAAAATGACAGTTGTAGTTGTTTTGGTCAAACTTTGCAAAAGATGTTATGCTTTGAGCTCATCTGGAAGATCTTGCAAGATGTGTTAGAGCTCAGAATACGTGTTCCTAAGATGGGGCAAGACCATTTAAACTGTATAAAACAAACAAAATAAAATAATATTAAAACAAACTCAAAATGAGCAGGTAGTCAGTGGAGGGAAGCCAGATGTTGCCCATTTCAAACTCCAGTTGGAGGCTGAGCAGCAGCGATCTGGACCAGCTACAGGCGTCTGAGGGAGGACTGGCTGACTCCGAGGTAAAGAGCGTTACAGTAATCCAGCTGATGTGATGAAGGCATGGATTACTGTTTAAAACAAACACCTTCTACATTCAAAGCACTGCATAAAGACTGAAAATTAGCTTCTTTTTTTTTATCGCAATTAAAAGGACAAGCTCTATAACTTGTACCTGCTGTTCTTAATTTGTTTAATTTTTTTTTGTTTCACAATTTAATATTTTAATATTGTTGTCTTAACTGTGATGTGGTAACTATGATTTGTATTTGCTGCCACATATCTTGACCAGGTCTCAATTGAAAAAGAGGTTTTCTTTTATCTCAGTGGGACTTTCCAGGTTAAATAAATAAAAATGGACTGAATTATAAACATTAATGTGTTTGCCAAGTTTGCTTAGCTACGGTGGCCAACGTTAATTAAACTGACTCGAAAAGTTAATGAGATGTAGAAGTTTATTCAGTGATTACTTTCAGTGAGTTTCATTAAAGTCCACCTGTTCATGAGATACTTTGGGTATACTTACAACAACAACAACAACAACAACAACAACAACAACAACAACAACAACAACAACAACAACAACAACAACAACAAAAGCAAAAACATTGTCATTTTGCCTTTGGTGGTGGGTGAAATTAAGTATAACAGGTAAGTTCAAGTTGTGTTTATTTGTCATATGCAAGGTCAACACAAGGTTAACACAAGGTCAACACAAGGTCAACACAAGGTCAACACAAGGTCAACACAAGGTCAACAGTACAATGAAATGCTTGGGATGAGAACAACCGATTCGACTGGCTAAAAAAAAAAATCAAAAGAACAAACAAACAAGAAATACTAAAACATGGTATGGTAGCAACTAAAGTAAGGTATTATGCTAAAAACAATAACATTGTGGTTTTACATATTGCTCTAAATACAGAAAAACTTGCAGGAAACATTTAGTAAAACATGAAGGAACACTCACCTGGTACATTCTCCTTCTCCTCCGAACAGAACCGTCGTGTTCCTGCCTGCATGCTCTGCAGCGCAGCCTCCAGGGGCTCTTTGGGCTTGGTGCCCTCCTCAATCGCACTCTGCAAAATGTGGACGCCTCTTTTTGTGTTGCCTGAGAACACGGGACGAGATGAAAGATGTAACACACCATGATAATGTTAAACTAAAAGCAATGACAAGAAAAGAAGTGCAATCTTATTTTACCTTGAGCATGCTCAAACTGTGCATGTGCAATGTGGACAAAAGCAAACTTTGGACAGAGAGATCTTGCCACTTTGAAGTTGGCCTCCGCCTCATTGACGTCTTGAATTCTAACAGATGAGAAAATACTTTGAAATGCAAACTGCAGTTTAGTATTTGTTGTTTAAAATGTGACTTTACTCACGCTTTTAGCTCTGCAAATCTGACCAACATCCTGGCATAATACTCATTCTGACAATGTTTACCAAGCGGCATGTTGGAGAACACTTTGGTATAAAAGTCTATAAGCCTGTTGAGGAAGTGATAATCCAGATGGGGATCCCCTTTCTTCTCCAGCTCCATCAGATAGGAGTGGCAAGACTCAGGCGAGTTTGAGCTGATGACCTGGTTTATGTTATCTGTGTCATCTGAAACAGAAGAGTTTTTAAACCTACATAGGTTTTAACGTGAAGGGGCTTTTAATAGCAGGACCAGTCTTACCTTCGTTGAGATACTTTTTTTTAATTATATTAATCTTTTGGTAAAGCTTAGCCAGCTGCTGATTCCTGTCGGTGTGCTCCTCTTCCTCCATCTGAAAACAAGAATTATGCATGACGAAAGGAAACGTTTTTAAAACACGACTGTCACAAATCAACAGCGCCACAGCTTCCTTTGTAACAACGTTAGGGCTAAACAGAAACGTTAGCTTAGCCTAAATCTGTGCTGTTTTGATGATTGGTTCGTCTCTAAAACAAATAAAAACATCCATCAGACCTTCCCTAAAACAAATACATACACTATTTGAGATGCGTTGTTTTGTATCCAACATGTTTTCTTTTATTTTAAATACAAAAACACAGCTTTTTAATAGTTTATGCGTCAGCGCAACAAGCTAACACTTAGCATCGCCTTTAACGAAGTTAAGATTAAACATAACGCCGAATATCAAGTTACATTAAAAACGGCTTTTTAAAACTGTGACAACGTAAGTCCGTTGAAAGTTATCTCACCGTGTTTATGCTGTCATTAAATTCCCCAAAGAAGCTATGTTGTAAGTTATTGAGCTCAGCGCAAAACGAAGAATGGGTATTCAAATATGCCACTTCCGACCAAGTCACGCACTGATTGGCTGGTTCCTGATGACGTAAAATGCATCGTCTTCAAGCAAACGCGTAAAAGTCGTTAACCGGTACTCTTGTTTGGTTATTGCTACTGAAACGTGACGTTTACTATACTTTATACTTTACGAAGAATTTACTCTGCAGATAGTTTAATGACTTGAAGTACGGAATTGCTTGAATTTAAATGTAGAAGTGTGGTTTATCTTGGCAGCCTTTAGCTTGCATGCACATTAGTTAATGTCATAGACGCAATAATGCTGTATTATTTGTTGCAGCCATTTAGCTTTTATTTGTTCTAATTTGAATGTTGAACGTTTCCAGCCTTTGCGTTCTAAAAGAATCGTCTAAATTCCGACAGCCCCTGAACACAGCTGTGTCACGTGATACTTCCCTGTTCCTGCCAGGCCAGCTCAGAAATGGCAGCCATGGGACGCGGGCGAGGGATATCACGAATTTAAGAGAGTTTTTCATGGTCGTAGATTGCTGTAGATAGCGTTCACATGCACGAGTTTGTTGTGGCGGTATTAATATAATTTGGGGCCAATGTGTCGATTGGGGAAAACGTTTAAAGGTTTCAGAATCGGCATGTTTTGTAGTGGGCTAAGCTAGGCAGCGGTTAGCAAATAAACTTGTTTCCTCTGACTGACGAGAAGAAGCTTTTGTCCTGCATACGTCGTCCTAGGTGAGTATGTGCTTGTATGCTTAACTTGTATGCTTTAGGACAATCATTGTTAACTTCACTTTAACATGACGCAGAACGTAGTTTGGTCCTGGCTTGGTTTCATTCATGATGTGAGCTGGAGTTGACGTGTTGATGCCACATTTTGAACCTGTTCTTACAACACTATCGTGTTGGACTGACGCTTCCCGTTTGTTGTTGTATTTTGTTACTCTGCACACATAATGGCACATTAATCATGGAGGACAACTAAATGTTCGTGCTTTCTTTCCTTGCAGCTCACTTTCATCATGGCCATCTCCCAGTTTCGTCTGTTCAAGATCTGCACATGCTTGGCCAACTTGCTGTCCTTCATTAAGAGGTTAATATGCAGGTAAGCACCAGTGAACTCTTCAGCTTTCAGTTCAGTTTATTTATATAGAGCCAAGTCACAACAGAAGTCTCAGGGCACTGAACAGAAACTTTCATGTAAAATAATAATTTAACATTATTTATCTGAGGAGCAGACTGCCTTCAGTTTAACTCCATCACAGACTCTCATCTTGAACAAGCATGAAGGCGACAGTGGAAAGAAAAACTCTCATGAGGCAGAAACCTTTAGCAGAACCAATTTTCAGTAGTCCATTGTTATTTATTAATTTGTATTCGTACTGTGGGGCAATATGAGTTTCTATTGTTTTTCTTTTCAGGTATAAATAGTTGGGTTTGAATAAGTTTGGACGCCGGCACTTAATTTATTTATTTAATGTAATTGTAGCCGTGTTTTGAATCTTGTTCAGAAAACTAAACCAAAAGAAGATACTGTCAGATAATGTTGAAGGCTGTGTAGCTCTTTTAATATGTAGAAACGTAACGTGCCTCACGTGTAATCAAATGTTACTCACGTTTTTATTTTGTAAACTTTGTCAAATGTTTTGTCGCCCATTTACCGCAGGTATCTTCAGTTGTGTAGGTTGTGAATTGTTTTGTGTGAGTTGAAGTTACTCATTTAGCTAGCTGAGGCTGTTTGCTGCTATTCTTTATGCTCTAATTATTATTGCGTGACTGTAAATAATTTTCTGCAGCTTGTATCTAGATTTCTTCTGGTAATCTTTACTCTTGTCGTGTATCAAGTTATTGATCTATTTTTTATTTTGATTATTCTTTGAAGTGTAGAAACATTCATTACATTAGCTGATTCAGCAGCAGCCTTGTTAGATGTTTGTTACAACCTGAGGAGGTGCTCATCCGACTGAAGAGGAGCCACAGCGTAGACAACATTGTAGACTGAATTGGTCGGTCCTCGATCCGTATCACTGCCTCCAGTTCAAATGGTGCATCCTTTGTGCTCTTGTTGCTCAGTTTCAGGTTTAGTTGGCACGTAGAGAGTTTCAGTCAAAGCTTTGTGATGAGTATTTTTGTGTTTTTTATCAGTACCACGTGTTTTTATGCACAATCCATATAAAAATGGTTGATATTGTAAAATCAGTGCTCACAGTATCAAAAATGTGAGAGTTTTCAGAAGACCTGCAGACAGAAACTGCAGTCAAAAAATGTTAATTTGGTAATTAGATGGACTCCACTCGGATCGTGGAGAATCTTGTGAACATTTTAATGACAGAACCTGTGGGCTTATTGCAGCATTCTGTAACATTATCATCATTGCATGTTTTCCTAATATTGCGCAACCCTGACTGTCTGTCTGCTCCAATGCGAGGTCTTTGCTGTCTCTCCGTCTGAGGGTCCACCAGCTCTGCACAGCACGTCAACAGTAATGATGGAACTTTCCTGCAAAATGTGGCACCAAACACACAACAGAAAAAGAAGGCAGAGAGTTCAACCACGCAGACAAAGAAAACCAAGAACTCTTGTTTTGGAGAAATTCTATGAGAAGATTCACGGTTGTCCACAGTCAGATGATTTATCACACAGGGACCATAAGAACAGAGATGAGGTGTTGAGATCCTGCCGAGAGTCGACTCAAAGTTAATTTTTTCAACCAGTGCATCATCGCCTCCTGTTGAGCTGCATAGTTCACCTGGAGAGAAGTGGAAAGCTGCATCCGTCACATCCTTTTATCTTCTGGACTTACTGAGTGAGAGCTGGCTGCAGAATCTCAGAACATCCTGGACTTTCATGTTTGGACGTACCACCCTTGACCCTTCCAAAATCATCTCCATCTTCTATCATTTAGGGTTGGGTTGCAGAGGCAACAGGTCCAGTAGAGGGAAATAGTCATCCCTCCCCCAATGACACGTTCCATGTCCTCCTGGGGGACCCCAAGGCGTTCCCACATCAGAGAAGATAAAAGATTGCTTCTTTGAGTTCTTCTCAGTGGGCCATGCTTGGACTGCAGCTTTGAAGCAGTGGTAAGAAGGACCAGAAAGTCACAAGTTTGATTCCCCACCATGCCAACTTGTCACGGTGTGCTTGAGCAAGGCACCTAATCCCCAACTGCTCCCTGGCCACTGCTCCACTTCAGTGTGTGATGGGTCAAATGCAGAGCACAAGCTTCCTCAATGGATGGGAACATGCTTTGTTGACCATCTGCAAAACCTCCAGTCAGATGCCCGAACCATCTCGTCTGACTACTTTCAGTGCAGGGGAGCAGTGGCTGGACTCCAAGCTCCCCCCAGATGATGGAGCTCCTTATTCGGTAACTAAGGCTGAGCCCAGTCACTGTGCCTTGTACCCAGGATCTTTTTCTTTTGGTCATGATCCAAACCTCATGAGCACGGCTGAAGGTTGGAACGTAGACAAAGCAGTGAATTCAACTCATCCCTCATAGTGACCAACTGAAGCAACGCCCTCATTACTGAGGACGAGGCCCTGATTCCTTGATCCCGCTCCATCCTACTGTCACTCGTGAACAAAACGTCCAGATACTTTTACTCTTTCTCCCGAGGCAACGACTGCCCTCATCCGGGAGGAGTCATTCCACCCATTTCAAGTTGAGAACCATTGCCTTGGACTTGGAGGAGCTGACTCATCCCAGCTGCTTCACACTTGCCTACAAGCTGCCCCAGTGCTCGCAGGCTGGAGGTCATGATCAGAAGATGCCAACAGAGCCACATCATCTGCATCAAGCGGAGACGAGACCCTGAGGCTCCAAAACCAGACGCCCTCCTCTCCACGACTGCATCTTGAAATGTGTACATAAACGGGGTTGGAGACGAGGGACAGCCCTGGCGCCGTCCAAACCTGAGAACAAACTTCCCCACTAAAACAAAAGAATTTATATCCATTTGTTTTTTGTTCAAACATTCTATATACACATTAAAAAGGGAATCATTCTTGCTTTTAAATTCAAAACCATACCATTAACATTTTAAAACTACGTAACGAACTGACAGATTGCAGTGTAGTATTTGTTTGAATAATTAGTGTGTATTAGTACTGAACATGGTCAGTGTTTCGCAGTAGTCGTTTTCTGCTTTTTATACATTTTGTTGAATGTTGCTTTTAGGAGTGGAAGAGGCCGCAAGCTCAGTGGGGATCAAATAACTCTGCCGACAACAGTGGATTTTTCATCTTTACCAAAACAGGTTTGTTCTGTAGCAGCAATAAAAACTAGAGAAACAACGACACTGACCAACACTTTAAACTTTGCCTTTTTTATCATCAAAAAACAAACCTTTCCCCTCAAGTCTTTACAGCCAGAGATCGAAGAGTGGAGCTCCTGGGATGAAGAAGCTCCTACAAGTATTAAAATCGAAGGTGGGAATGGAAACATTTCCCCTCCTCCCAACGAAGCAGACGAGGAGCCCGACTACTTTAAAGACATGGCTCCAACGATCAGGAAAACACAGAAGGTGTGTAATTGTACTGTCAGGGCTGATAGAAAAAAACAACTAGTTTTAAACTGCAGTTTTAACAAATTAAGAGTAATAAAAAAATATAATCCTACAATATTCAAAATGTGTTGACATTAACTGCAATGAGTTACAAGGTTTGTTTTCTGATTAACAACTCGTGCGAGTAGTAAATCATTTTTATCTCGATGTACATATTTTTGTCAGTTATTATCCAACTAAAACTTCATCAAGGTCCAAGGTTTGTTATTGTCATTCACATCACATTTACATGAGGTGGAACAAAATTGTGTACTCATGGTCCCAGTTACACCCAACAATAGCACAAATATAAAGTATAAAAAAAGAAGCCATATACCAGGATCTAAGATGTACACTAAATAATAATATAATGCGGTGTATTAAACGCCAACGTCTTCATGATGGAAGCCTTACTGACTGCTTGAAAAGCACTTCAGCTTTTGCTCCTTCTTGTAATAGTTTAGCAGAAATGTTCAATATTCAGGTTCTGAGCTTTACATTTTCTCTCATTTCTACTTTAAAGATCATGTTGAAAAAGCGGGAGCCCTTGAACTACCTGGTGCCAGATGGGTCCGCAGGATTCTCCAGCAGGCTGGCTGCCTCTCAGGATATGATGAACTTCAGTCCACCCTCAGTGAGCTGCTTTTACACTTTATAAATCAAAAATCACGTTTTTATCTTCTACATGTTGGAGCTCAGACGCTTCTTCTATAATCTATAGAATATTCAAAATATACGTGATGCATATAATCTTACATTTAAAACATAAATGATGCACTCACCAACCAAAACACGGAGTGGAGTTGAAATGAAACCGCACATGTTGACAAGTCATGTGACCGTGGCCGTTACTTCTGGTCCAATGTTCGTGTTGGGCCTCCTCTGTGTTTGGTAATCATAACTCACTGTTTGGACACTGTAACACGCTCCAGCAACTGCCTGATAACTCTGTTCTTTCACTTGTGATGCCAACACTTCAGCTCCATTTGAATCAAATTATTGATCTCGATGGGGCGGCTGTGGCTGAGTGGTTAGAGCAGTCGTCCTCCATTGTAAGGGTTCGATTCCACCAGCAGTCACATGCTGAAGTGTCCCTGGGCAAGACACTGAACCCCTCACTGCCTCTGATGTGTGTCCCATCAGTGTATGAATGTGATAAAGCACTCATTAGTCTCTGTAGAGATCTAGTAGAGTGCTGTATGAACGGGTAAATGAGGCACAGATTGTGTTGTAAAGAGTTTTGAGTATCTTGATCAGATAGAAATGTGCTATACAAATCCAGTCCATTTACCATTTGGGCCAAATTATGTCCACATCTGACTGTTACTTCAGGGTTGATTTACTTAATTTATCCAGTGACTATATATTTACTGTATGGAACCATATGAAGAAACTAGATCTATGGTTATTATAATCATTAATGCACAAAACAATTAACTAAACGCTGTCCTCTGTTCTTAAGCTGAACACCCAGTATGGACTAATTGATGGTTGCTGTTATAATCACTGTCTGTCTGTTTCTATAGGCCGAACTGGGAGAAATGGAAAACTGGCAGGAGGACACGAACGCCTGGGAGGACGAGTCTGATGCTGCCTGGGAGGCAGAGGAGGTGCTCAGGTAACCGTTCAGGATCCATCTGTGCTCACTCATCTGAATCAGTCCTCTAACAAAAGAATGAAAGAGCTCCACGTTTGAAGTTGAAAACATATTTTGTCAAACAGTGATTGTTGAAGAAACATGAATAATGTGAGTGTCATTGTTTTTTTTTTTTTCTGAATACTCTGATGAAAGATTAGAAAAACGAAGAATCAAGTTTAAACAATTTGGCATAAACAGATTTTCAGTTCTGTTGTTTTACATGGTGTCGTGTGTTTTCTGCCCAGCAGGTGGCAGTGTGCACCAATATTACTGCCATGTTTCCCTCAGGCCCTCTGATGTGGCTCCATCTAAAACACTTTGCCATGAAACCTTTTGTAATCTTGCCTTTTTGTTTTCAACAGGCAGCAAAAGCTGGCAGAGCGAGAGAAGCGGTTCATGGAGCAGCAGAAGAAAAAGATGGAAAAAGACGCTCAGAGAATGTTGAAGAAGGAGCAAAAGATTGCCGTCAAGCTTTCGTAACGTTTTAAAATGCTCAGTTTTGAGCTAAAGGGATCGGTGTGGGAGCAAAGACTCTATATTTATCATTACGTCTTTCAAATCAAACCAACAAGATTATCAGTCACTACTTCTCTGTTTGTAAATTGTCATCCTCCTGTTTCCACCAGCAGCCATCTTGGTCCATTTCCCTAAAAGTATCAGTCTTAAGAGCAAACCTGTTTTACTGTTTCAGGTGACGTCCTTAACGGAGTCAGTAACAGCACTTTCATCTTAGGAGTAAAAAAGTTAGATCCAGCTTTAGATTCCAACTTAATCTGGTTGGTGTTGAAATGTTTTTAATTTCCCAGGAACATTTGTAAATAAACTGGTATCTCTGCCACCTTTTGAGCTCTGGGGAGGAGCACAGTTGCCTTTATTTGGCCTCCAGTGAGTGAACACGGCGTAATTTGTTCGGTCACTGTATACCAGTGACATCCTTTGGTTTGCTGCTCTGATTCTTGTTTTTATATTTATATTTGACCTGATCAGAAAACTTTTCTTTTCTAATGGATTTTGCTTGAAATGTCTCATCTTGTGCCGTTTAGCCTTTACTACACTGGAGGTTTGCATAATAAACAAAAGAGGAATTTAGTCAACTAAACAGGCTGTTGATAAATATCATAGATTAGTATCAAGCCTGCATATGAATTATAGCTGTGGGTTCCTATGGTAACCTCATGGCAGTTGGCTTACTGTTCAATTATTCAACTCGGTCATCCTTTGAAGAGAACTTATCCAGTGATTGGTGCATTTTTATGGCAAAGGGAAGTTTCTTTTATTAAATGATTATTCACACAAACGTGAATCAGAAGGAATTCAAATGACGTGGCTGGAGGAGGTGGGGGTTACTTTCACAACAAAACTGGAAGTTTTCTTGAGCTTAGTTTTTCCTTTTTTCTTGTCAGAAATTTCTGGTCCTCAAATGGAGAAAAATATTCCAGTGTCCATGTCGCCATGGAAACATCAGTTAAAACTGAAATAATTGAATATGATGCATTTTACAGAACAGATGGAAACAAGGTGAAACTTTTTTCTTATTCATTGTCAGAAACATTTGCAGGTACCGTATTTTCTGCTTCTTAAACAAGTGAAAACCCAAAGGTACTGATTCTGTTAAACTCAACTGATGAAGTGATTATTAAATGCATGGCCAGTGTTACGAATGAACTTGAGAATTAAGGCGGTCGTTTCAAACGAAGTCAGCAAAAGTTTTTTTGTTTTTTTTCCTTGACAAAAATTACATTTGTAACTAATCTTAAGAAAAACTTTTTTCATTTGTCAATGTTCATGTCTGAATGGTAGTGGTTAAAAATAAACAGGCTTGTATTGATTGGTCGACAAGTTCTGTTTGGATTTGACTGCATCTGCTGTGCTGGTCCTCAACAGGTTTTTTTATTTGGTAATAAAACCATTGATTCTTGAGACTTTTAGCATTGAATAACTTTGTGAAACACTATGTTAAACTGTTTCTATACAGGCACAGGAGAAATTTATCCAATTTAACTTTATTGGTTAAACATAACAGTTCAGGATTAACACAAAAATTATAATGAAGCTTTTTCTGCTATCGATTGAAAACCCAGTTTTGTAATCGGATTTTAAACTTCCCGTCAGGAAAACGGTTTAAGTTGGTAGTAACTTCCCACTCAACCATACTGACCACTGGGGCTCCTCAAGGATGTGTGCTCAGTCCTTTGCTCTTTACTGAGCTGACAGATGTCTGGACGAGTAAATTCAACACCAGCTCATTAAATTTGCTGCTGGCCCTACACTGGAGAGAGACATTGGCAAGAAAGCTCAGCAAATAATGTACTTTTTCCAAGAGAAAATGTGCAAGAATGCCCCTTCCAACCACATTTCTTACCGAGGCACTGTTAAGAGCATCCTGACGAGCTGCATCACTTCTTGGTATGGTTGCTGCAGTGTGGCTTGGGAGTGACTGATGGGATTAGGTTTATACAATACTTATTTGTGTTTATGCAGAAAAAAAAAGCATCAAGGCTCTGAAGAAGGGGTTTGGGGAATGCAGCATCCCTTAATGTCAAAAGGACATGCTCAAATACAGAGTTAATGAATTAAAGCAATTTGTTTCTGATGCTGCACATGTTTAAATTCCAAAAGTGTACTGATCTTGAGTTTGGTAACTGATATAGACCAGAACTGTGATTATCGTTGTGCAAAATTTTACAACTAACCCAAAAAAGAGCAGCAGCTTTACATAAGGCTATCATGGCATTTAGAGCTAATGTCTGTCCAAAATAGAAATAGTTTAATATCCATATTCAAATATGAGAAGTATGCACTGCTAATGTACATTTCAATTCATAAAGTTGGTGTTGTATATGTTCATCATGATACAATTTCAAACATGCTCACAACACCACCAAAAACACGTTCCCATAACTATGAACGAAACGATCCCCTTATCTTGCCCCCGAGCCGTCAGGTTGTACAGGCCCACTGTACCAAGAGCAACCAGGAGTTGTGGTTCAAAGGCTAAAAGTGTCATGGTGACTGAACCATGTGCATTCACAGAAATAAAAACTGGGTGCACAGAAATCTGTCCATTATTGCAATTTCTGTAGCGTTATTCCATAAATCGTTCGAACACCGCTTTAAAACTTTACTCTTGCAAAACGGTCAGTGCATGTGTACACTAAGCCGTAAACGGTATATTCACCAGCCATCATGCATGACCAGAAAGTATCACCGAGTCATAGACTATATAAACCGTCTATAGACAAACATTACAGGAACATGCTGTAAGGTCTTACATCCAGTTGTCCCATAACCCACATTTATAGCAAATGTCATTTTGTTTCACCTCCATCACAATGATGTCGCTCCCATCTGCCTGGGGACAATGCCTATCTGCCAAAACCTCTCTGAGACTGACCTACTTCTAAAAAAAGAACCCGTTCATCCTCAGTGACAGAGGGAATGAGTTACATGATTGCAGACAACCCTAATGTTGCAGAACTAGTTCATTCTCACACTGCTGCCCACTCCAACAAATTGATGAGGGGATTACAGCATTTAATGGTTTAATGCCTTATAGACAGAGGGGATGTAGTTATGCAACTTTAGATTACCATATGGCACAGTCGAAACTGAATCATTGAAGAGAGGATGTTGTTGGCTCATTTATATTTAACGCCCCTGGATTTAATGCACTCAACATTTTCAGCTCCACTACTCAGGAGTCGTCTGAACTCGGCTGCAGCCAGGTTATGTCATGAAGTAAAACCCCTCAGCCCGTGTTTTCAGACTGCATCCATCATGCAGATTCAAAGAAATGTTCAATGTTTTTACCTCTTACGCAAGAGAAATATTGAGGCTTTGCTTGGAAAAAAAATTAATTCCACCTCAGACGAAACTTAAAAGCTGAGCCCAGACTCATGCACATTTTATCATGCTTTAATAATAAATGTACAAGAACAATTGTTGTAAACCACCAGAATTGCTCATTTCTCAGGCACATAACAGATCTCAGTTGCTGTGACACATCAGTGTACATTTATGTACAATACACACTACTGAGTAAAGCTTTACTGCCAGGGAGGTGGTGGGAGGCGTGTGTGTGTGTGTGTGGGGGGGGGGGGGGGGGGGACTTTACAGAACCGTGAACTCACATTAAAGCTTTGGCTGAAGGTTTAAGGTTTCTTTAAGAACAGTAACACAAAGAACACAGAATGCAAACAGCGTAGCAGCCGGTTTTCCTTCTCATAGAAAAAAAAACAACTAATTTTTAACAAACTTGGGTAAAAAAAAACAAACAAAACAAAAAAAACAAGACAATGATAACACATAACCATCTACCAAGATGATTTGCTTACAAAAGGAAACATTAAATGTATAAACGGTTACATTTAATACCGTTCATGTTACCATTGAACTCCAACTCATGTGCAAATTAACAGTGCTGCGCTGATCTCAAACAGAACGAAAACAGATCAAGACTCTTGAAAATATGCTTAAGTGCATTTGGATCAAAGTTAGGTGTACGCATGCAGGATGAAAGCAGTTAGGCATCCGGCCTGTGAGCAACGCGACGAAGCGAGTGCAACCCCATGATGCAGCAGCCCCTGATCAGAGCAGCGATGTTGTACACCGGAGGGTTTCCGTCCACACCGTGCCGCGAGTACAGCCAGGCCAGTGTGGGCAGCACTGGGGCGGCCACCGCCACCAGATCAACCAGAAAGTTGTTGCTCCAGTAACGTTTACCCACCACACTCAGCTCTGGAGATGGACGAAGCTTCTCCTCTGGGACTCCAAAGTCCAGCTCCTCCATGAAGCGGCGGCTCTCTGTAGCCTCTGAGCAGCGTGCACCAGAACCTGCAGAGCCTTCAGGATTACTTGGACACACGCCGGGTTGGGGAGGTTTAGTGTCCCGTTGGTCTGCAGTAGAGGAACTGGGTAGGTTTGGGAGTTCCAGGAGTTGGGACGAGGATGGAACGAAAGGAGCAGAGAGAGCTTCACCCTCAAGTGAAGTACCATGTAACTTGAGGAGCTGAAGAAGCAGAGCCTGCAGGTCCTGAGATGTGGGCACTGGATCTGTCTGGATTCCTTCATCTTCTGTTTTCTGCTGGGAGGGAATGTTTGAAGAAACGGTGACAGTGGTTGAAAGTGGTGGAGATGCAGTGGATGAATGAGTCAACTGTCCCTCTTCTGGCAAAGCTGGCACCCCAGTTCCAAACTCCCCCGTGACCCCTGGCTGGCAGCTGGAGTCCTGGCTGAAGTCCACTGTAGTGGACATGAAGACCTGCTCAAAAATGTCCGCCCTGTTGGCCATCTCATCGTTTACTAACAGCCCGCTGTCTGCCATTGCTTCCACTCCTTGGTCTCCCAGCTCCACCCTCCCCATCAACTTTTTCCCACCGCCTTCGGGGCCGTCGCACATAAAATCCAGGGCGTTTTCATCTTGGAGGGTGGAGCCACTCTGGGCTAACTCCATGCTATGCAGCAGGGACTCCAACTTCCTGTTCTGGATGTTGATATCTATGAAGTACTTCTGTATTCCCTTATCCTTCTCCATCAGGCTGCTCTTCATGGTTTCCACCACCTGGCGCAGCTGTTTGATCTCTTTACGGGCTTCTTTGAGGGACAGCTGAGCTTCCACTCTGTGGCATTCCTCTTCAATCCAGTCTTCCCTCATTCTGCTAAGCTGGCTCTTAAGATCCTCAACCTCCATCTCTCTAACAATGAATACAAATGTTCAGAATTACTTGAACAGTTTACCATTTTTAAGTGCATACTCAATCAATTCCTTGCTCAGGTAGACACAAAAGTGGTAGTCACAAGCTATAACTTATCACAGACTAAAATATGGGACAGCCATCTTTAATTTATTTAGTTTTGATCACACCAGTTAAACCTTCTAATGTGGTCAGAAAAAAAAGACCTGTGTGGTACACACAGTACATGTGACAATGGGATACATTGAAGTTCTTGGAAGAACCTGCTACAGTAAAAGGCACAATGCAAGATTGAACCATTTACAATAAAGAATAAATGTTATAGTATTGTTCGATTAAAAAAAAGGTCATTAATGGTTAAACACCATCAGAATGGTGACGTTATAAAACCAGACTTTTGGGGTTGGTAGTGGTATAGCACCTTCGGAACAACAGATTTCACATGTACGAGTTAGTAGTGGCTATCCTGTATCTTTATATGAAACATTTCTTCAAAAGTAAGTTTTACTAACTGGCCTGGATGCAATTTTAAAATCTTAAGCGTGAAAACAAGATATAAAGCAAAAGTGTAATGCATGTTGTAGCATATGTCTGGATACTACACTTGTCAGCTTTTATACACGTAAACTGAAGTGAATTTTGAATTGTATGCCTAGTTAAAGAGGCTGCCGGTCAAATGTTTTATATTCAAAATACAAGTACTGTTGTAGTACAAATGTTCTTACATTGAAAAAAGTACCAAATCCTGGTTGTGCAATATGAAACGTGCAATTTAAATAAGATGACTTGTCATATTTATGCATAGTTTATTTTAAGAGTCATCCATTATTGAATGTTTTCTTACATAACCCATTCCTAACATCTCCCTTGATTGAGCAGAACTCCTGCAGGCGTTACATCACCATCACAGTTTAATAATACAATCAGCGTCTAAGACCATACATTTACAACCACAGGGGTGTTTCTGTGATGCTAACCTGTCATGAACTTTATTCTCAGACTCCAGCAGCTGGGTCTTCAGGTGTCTGATGGCCACTTCCTTCTGCTGCAGGGGGGTCAGATACTGTTCAGGGTTCGGTGGCCTGATGCCATGGTTCTCTCCGCAGGAGTGGTAGCGACTCAAGCAGACCCTTCTGTTGTCCAGGGAGAAGAATGGGGGGAGAGGGGGTGAAAGAAAAGATTTCCTTCTTTTAAATTGATTATCCATCTGTCCTTGTTGTGGCATTTTGACACAGCAGCAAAAAAAAACCTGCTTAAAAGCAAAGTGACTCCCTATAGAAGGCAATTAGTTTGGCAGAGAGAGTGCTGTCAGAGCAAATGCTCCCTGAAGCCTGGAATTACTGTTTGACAAAGGATTACCTGCATTCAGGCAGGCGGGTAGCTAAATACCTAAAGTGCTGCTTTTATCAAAACACAAGCAGAGGGAAGATGTAAAGAAATTGCATTACCAAAATAAAAACTAAAGCTACAGATGTTAATCTGAATGACATGTCCTCTCGGTAAAACATTTCTTCCTGTTGGGGATGAGAGGGTGGATTTGGACAGTATGCACAGCAGTGTCTCTTCAACATCACAGAAACCATTGGGGCTTTGAAATGAATGCTCTGTATTCCAGGAATAGAAATGGCACAGGGGAAAAAAGGATATCACATGACACTTAGCCAGGAAGAGGAAAGCTGACAAATCAGATGTCTAAAGTGACATCGGTAGAGGCTTATGATGCGTTTAAAGCTGTGAACATATCCAACCAAGAGAGAATTTGGATGTAATGTGCAGCCTAAAGTGCAAGACTAAAAGGAATTCATAATGCACCATGACTCTTCATATCCACTTCCCTCTAACACAGTGCACCCTTAAGCTGCTTTGACAGTGATAAGTGCGACTCCACTCGTTTCTCATCTTATCGGTTCTTCTCAGGTGTAGGTGATTTGCCTGTGTGACTGGTTTCCCCGTTCTGTGGGCGGGATCGTCAATGCAAATTGGGTGGTATCTAGACAGGTCATTGTGTTCCAGCCACTCTGCTCCGTGTGGTCCTTAATCAGCCAAAAATTGGACTTCAATTTAGTCAGCAGGAGGACTGTCTGGGGAGCACATTTAGACATTTGCTGTATGAAATGCTGATGAATCTCTGTCAAATCATGGTCAATATAATCCCAATTATAATCCGTGCCTGATTTAGCCACCCACAGGTTTGAGCATTGGCTTTCTTAAACCATATCATAACCTGCCACCCCCCATCACAGAATGAGTTGAATGTGTTAAATAATGCAAGGAGGGAAAAAAAATCACAACGAATGATCAGAGCATCCATTTTAAAACTTGACATCCAAGTTCTTGAAGATAAGAGAAAAATAAAGTCATGACACCTAAATTCATGTTGGATACCTTGAAGTGGGGCTGGAGTTGCAGCTGCTGCTGAAGGTGGAGGACGACGCCCTGGGAGGAGTTCTGTAGGGAGCGTAAAGTTCAGCATCACGGGTAACAGTTGTGACACCAGGTGGTTTGAACACCGGGGCTGGTCGGATGTGAGCGCCACGACTGCAAACACATTTAAATACGATGAGAATAGCAAAGAAAAAAGTAAAACTGAAATAAATCTAAATATTTTCTGCATAACTTGACTTTTTTTTTTTTTTTTTTCCAAGATGCCTTTTAGCTGAAACAGGTGGAATTTTTTTAAAAAGTAGTTCCTGGATATTTTGGCCACACTTAAGGTACATAATTCAAATGCATTGACTACATGCCTCCGTGAAGGTTTCTTCCCAACAACTGAGCTGGAGGTGAGGCTCTCCTTGGTCTTCAAGCTGCCTGTGCTGCTGGAGGAGCTGAAGTCTGCCTCACTTCCTGCAGGGGGATGGCATTAGCATGTTAGCATGCTAGCAGGCACAAAATTAGCTTTTCTGGTTTTGTTTTTTTAAATTGCAAAATGTTTCTTGTATCCACCGCTCTATTGCAAATATATGACAAAAGTGCCACACAAACACCTAAATACACAAACAAGTTTTGTGAGAGGAAATAAAAGAAGTTACCTGCTAGTAGTCCCATTAACTCTTATTGACTGTAACGTGTAAATCTAAAAATAAAAAAAGTTCTCTTTTTGTCTTAAAGGCACTTTTGCAAAATCACTACAGAAAATTTAGTAAGAAATTAGTTTTAGTCTTATACTAATTCTGGTCCAGTCAGAACGTAGGCTACAACTTAAGAAATCAAAGTACTGTACACTCGTCTCAAATTTAAAGCTATATCAAGCTAAAGCTAGCTTAAAGTGAGCTAACTGGAGCTAACGGTAGCAACTTTGCTAAAAACAGAGCAAAGCTAGCTTGTGAGCTAACTACAGCTAGCTTTGCTAAAGAGAGAACTTCTTGTATAATGTGTTACCAAATTAGGGGGAAAAGACTAATACTTTTGTTTATCTCAACAGAATATTCAACAGCTTGGTTACGAAGTATATTTGCATTTAAAAAAAAAGCTTCAGTAGCTAGCTGTGCCATGTTGTCCCATGATCCATGTCCCAGGTATTTTGGTAAAACGGGTCTAAACTACACTACTTTATGAATTTACTAGTAATGCAACAGCCTATATGAACAATAACAGATACCTAAATGTATAAAATATTTTCCAATAAGACAAACTCACAAATCCTACAAGTCGAGTCAAATAATTTCCTTAAGGAAATCAATATAATTATTGTCAATTTAAAGTAAATTTAAAGGGTGTTCGTTTCTCATTTGTATACATTATTTTATTAATTTAATTATGTTTTTGTTAGTTGAGTAAGATGTAATTTATCAGCTCTAAAATTGAATCAAAAATTTATAGGCCTAATTTGTTTTTCCATTTTCTGCTGCTTAATATTGTGCATTTTCTTTGCTTTTTAGAGTTAATACTTACAATTACACTTATAAGCACATGCAAAGTGATCAAATTTGGTTCCTGCACTTACAAAAAATTAACTGGGGACATTTATAATCTGTGTGTGCATCTTTAAATTATATTGAGCATGGACTTTGTTGTCTTTAAATTAGGTTGTTGCAACCAAAATATTTTAAATAAAAAATAAAAATTGTTAAATAGATCCAAACTATAGCCTACCACTTTTCAACTACAAACAGTTTCAATAAGTTGCTAACCGTATTCTTAAACAGGTTTTATTCAAGACATCTGGGGAAGAACATGTTGGAAAAAAAAAATTGCCACCTTAAACTATGACATTCAGACTCTGTGTGTTTATAATCTGCTGAAACTTTGAGAATATCTACGCTCCACGATGAACAACCGCAGGAAAAGCCTGAAGGACAATTTGTGTTAAGGCGAGTGAACATTTATCATTAAAATGTTAAGCTGACATAAAAATGTCATTTCAAAGTCCTACCTGAGAAACATCTTTTCCCATTAAACAACACCATAGCAATGTGCAATGAGTGTGAACACCAACGTATCCAAATTCAGTGATCCTTCACCACTTGGTGAGTCAGCTGAGTCTGGGTTGATCCAGTCATAGTAGTAACCTCCTACTAATCAGATTAATTGGCTGAGCTCCTGAACCATATTCAGCCAATCAGCTTTCCTTCTAGCTCTGACTCAATCACTGTTTTTCTGATAAACCTAACAAAACACTTAGATAACTTATCACTCATGTCATATCTTTGAGGGAAAGCCACTCTGACCTCATTAATGTTTGTGTACGCCTGCACACGCTGCTGACATGTGACAAATTAACTGCTTTGGGTTTTTGGAGAACTTCTGGCAATTGATGCAGTTTATATTATTTTGTGTGATTTCACTCAAGCTCTTGTGATCCATTAGTTCTCAAAATAGGATGCATTATAATCATGATTCTCAACTACTACCGTATCAAAGTTTAGCTCAGTACCTGTCACATTTACTGCCTGTAGCTATTTTTGTGTTGGCTAAAGTCAATTAGCTGTGGTAGACATCTTGGATTGACTTCAGAAGTTAATCAGTTTTAGCTTTACATCCAAAAATTACTTTTTGAGTTTGATTCAAATCTGTTCAGTGGTCCATGAGATATTTTGCTAACAGACAAACAGGGTTGACTCCAACAATTAATGCCAAAGTTTTGAGCAAGGACCTTGTGATCAGTTAGTACTCAAAGTAAATGTTTGGGCTAAAACCACAGCAACATATTTATAGTATTAATGGGTTTTGGCCATTTCTGTGCATGCTTGGATTAGATGTATTTGCCATCATGTAATGGATTAACTCAGTTATAATCAGTTGTAGACCTGCACTTTTTTTTTTCTAAAAGTGTCCCTAAAATCTATCCACTGGTTCATGATAAATTTTAAGAACAGACACATGCAGAAAAAAACAATATTTTCCACCTTTTGTTTTTTCATGGTGTGAAATAGAAAAAGTTTTTGTTTATTATTGTACTCTTTAGCTGTTTCTTTACCTCTGGCCTTCATGGCTGACCTCAGCTCCCTCTTGTGCCTCGGCGCACTCCGTGCCTCCCCGCTGCCCTCCGTCATCACCCTCACCCTTTTCGCTTTGGTCTTGCGCTCTGGGAGTCTTGGCGATCCGTGGGTACTGCGCTCTGAGCCTGACGGGGTTTTGGAGGGGGACACAGACTGACTAGTGGGGCAGCCAGTGTCATCTATTGTAAACAGGCACACAGACCGGTAACAGCCAAAAACAGGCAGTGATTCGGAGCTCAAGGTTCAGCTCCTGCTGCGTTCTGACTATTAAAGCTTACATCATGGCTGCTCACAGGCACATTTGTTCTGTTTGTTAATAGGACGCAGATAAGGTTAACATAAAAATACATAATGTATTTGAGACGGTGCATCCTTTTTCAATCATCAGCAAGTGCGTTGCGAGGTGATGCGACACCTGCAGCCTGCAAATGTTTCTAAGCTTTATATGATGGAATCGGTTCAGTTAACTTTATATAAAGTGGCAAAAAAAAATCTTCATCATCTAAAAGACACAGCTGACCTGCAGCAGAACGTCTTACCAGAGCAAAAGCTGTTGGTGCTGATGGTCCTCTTGGAGTGGTCCGAGCTGACATCACACTCTTTACCCTCCTCCTCTGAGAACGGGGAGTCAGACAGAGGTGACCCTTTGTCTTTTGGTTGGAAAGGGTGAGGGACCAAACGTGGGATGCGGCTGCGGGGACTTCCTTTTCCAGGTGATTTCTTTTCCTGTTCAAAACGATTGTCAGAGAGGAACGGAAAGAGGAAGTATAGTGGTTGATTATGACAACCTAAATGTTACGGTTTACACGTTCTTTTACTCATACAGCAACTGATACAGCAGGGGTCACCTACACAATTTGCTCAGGGGACAAACTTTCAAGTAAAAAATGTATGATGCCCACAAATAAGCCTGATGTTAAGAGGTTATGTCTGAGACGAAGTGCCATCCGCCCCCTTATCAAACCAGTACTTCAGCATGAATGCATACACAACATTGATGAGCAGCAGCAACACATTTTGTTTTACAGACATTTTAAAACTATTTCTGTCAGCTTTTTTAATTTACTTTAATGTTATCCCATGGGGCAGCACGGTGGTGCAACTGGTAGAGCTGCTGCCTCTCAGCGAGCAGGTCCTTGGTTCAAACCCCGGTCCAGGGGCCTCCTGGGTGGAGTTTTCATGTTCTCTCCGTGCATGCGTGGGTTTTCTCCGGGTGCTCCGGTTTCCTCCCACAGTCCAAAAACATGCATGTTAGGCTGATTGGTAACTCTAATTGTCTCTAGGTGTGAGTGAGAGAGTGAATGGTTGTTTGTCTTGTTTGTCTCTATGTGTCCTTGTGATGGACTGGAGACCTGTCCTGGGTGTCCTCTCGTAGAGTGACTGCTGGAGAAAAGCACCCAGAAAGAAGAAGCTGGTAAAGAAAATGAGTTCTCGTGGCTCAATGAGACTACCTGTATAAATAAATGCTAAATGAAAAAAAAAAAAAGGATGTTGTCAGACACTAATGGCATTTCCTGTGCCATATATACTGTAACTGTATGTTAACTTTACGATTAATCATAATTAATGATTGTATTTATAATAATAAAGAATGTGTGTGTGTGTGTGTGTGTGTGTGTGTGTTTGTCTTGAATTTAACAGCTTCAATTGTTATTTTTTCTGAGTCCTTGTGCAGGAATGTTAGATAAAAATATGACAACGTATTAAATTAGCAATAAATTTTAAACCAAGTAATAAAGTTATTGACAAGTTTTGAATCTGTACAATTGTATGTTTTTTACATTATTAACACATAGACGCCAGTGCTGTGAGCTGCAATATGTTATTAATGGCATATTTCGATGCAAGCAGGACCTAAGAACGCAGAAAGGTGTGAGCAACTTAAGTAAAATAAACTTTTTAGATTTATTTAACGCCCTGTGATGGACTTGCGACCCGTCCAGGGTTTACCCCGCCCCTCGCACAGTGATTGCTGGACATGGGCACCGGCGACCCCCGTGACCCAAAATGGAATAAACGGGTAAAGAAAATGGATGGATGGATTTATTTAACAAAAACAAAAGGCTGGCAGCAAAAAAAAAAAAAAACCTTTAAATAACTTAAGGAGCCAAGGAACTGAAGGTGGATTGAAAACTATATGGATGGGGGCTGTTAAATAGAGTGGAGGCATCTGGGCAAAATGGCAACTGGGAACAGGTGAGAGTGAGCAGGAGCTGAGGAACTGACTGAGGAAGAAGTGGCAGATGGCACTTTTGTTTTTTTAATTCATAAACAAGAAAACAACAACAATCTCAAAACAATGAAGTCAAAAAGCTGCCAGAAACAAATCAAACACAGATCGTGACGCAGCCTTAACGCTGAGGTCCGCTGAGGTTCTGGTTGTGAGCCTTTCACTATAAATATGATGTCAGATTGATGTTAGGAGGATTCTGTTTAAAAGATTAAATGAGCCTGTGTGGTTTTTATTTCTGTTGTTTTTGGGTTTCCTTAAATAAAGAAAACTACGTCAAATTTCTCAAAAATGCCCGCCCCCCTCTTTTGTATTTTTGTTCTTTAATAAATAGCAGGTGGGTAACATGATCACCACGCCACGTCCACACACCACCAGCTGATGATCACTGCCCATTAGAGAATTCACCTCTCAGACGTCGGTGATGAGACTCACCTCATATTCTTGGAACGGCCCCATCGTGATTCACCGAGTTACTCCTGATGATGAAAACAAAGGAAACAAAAACCAGATGAGACTTGATGGCAGCAGTTAGATATTTTACTGAAACTCGTATCACAAGAGCCCACTGTCTGACATCTGTTACGTCACTACATCACTACCACCCCCCCAACACACACAGCCTGGTACAGACAGCACAATAAGCCTCGAGCCCAACATAACCCAACAAACACTTAATGCTCAAATTATTAAACATAAAAACAACTTTGGGTCAGTATTTGCAAAACATTTAATAGTCCAAGAAGAATATTCCTACACATGACAGATTAGACTACCGTATTTTTTGCCATATAAGTCGCACCTTTTTGCATAAATTTGCAAGTCCTGCGACTATACACTGAAGTGATTAATATACGTTTTTTTTCCTCCATATTTATAACTCAAATTTTGGCTGAGTTCTGATGATTTCCTTCTTTCTGACATGGAAAATATTGAACACCACCATTTTCAGCCACTAGTGGGCCTTTGAGCAATATGACAAGCCAAGTGTCTGATTAATAGGATAAAGTGGCTATTAATGAGACACTTGGCTTGACATAGAGGCCACCTTCGTCTTGCTCTGGAACTCCTGGAGCAAACATCGAATCAGCTGCATTTCACCACACCACCCAGGAGAAATGCAGCTGATCTGACCATTAAAGTGCATTCATTAAGGAAAAGTTCAACTGAGACACACCTTTACTATAATGTGGAGCAAACAAATAATTTTTTACTTTAATGGACATTTTTGGACTGATGCGACTTATAAGGCGGTGCGACGTGTACAGCAGCAAGTATGGTAATTCCACAGAGATTTTATTTTATGTAATGGTATTTGCAATTTGCTTTTGTACCAGAATGAGCAATACCTGCATTATGATGTTGTCAGTTTTATGTTTTAAATATTCCTCATACAATGTGTGTAATTTGTTATTACTACAAAAATGTTCTGCTGAAATATTCATTGTTACAACTTCTTCTTTCGGCTTTTCCCTCTTCAGGGGTCGCCACAGCGAATCATCCTCCTCCACCATCTCACTCTGTCCTCTGCATCCTCTGTCCTCACTCTCACTACCTTCATGTCCTCTCTAACTGCATCCATATAGCTCCTCTTTGGCCTTCTTCTTTGTCTTTTACCTGGCAGCTGCATTTCTAACATCCTTCTACCAATATACCCACTGTCCCTAATCTGGACATGTCCAAACCATCTCAGTCTGGCCTCCCTAACCAGAATAATCACTGTGAAAAACCATATCATGTTGCTGCTGATCTGTTTCATGTTGCTGCTGATCTGTTTCAATGTTGATGTGTTCATGCGTGCACATCTGCTCACAGACTCATGTTCATGTTTGTGCTGATGTTCAATGTTTTGTGTTATGGGTGCTTAGTGTATATTTGGTTGATGTTTTTCTTGGTTCATATCTTGGATGTTATTGCTGTTTTTTCTTATACATTTTATTGTTGGATGTAACTGGGACCCTGTGTACATAATTTTGCTCCATCACATGTACCACATGAGGTGCGAATGACAATAAAGAAACTCTGACTCTGACTCTGACTCTGACTTACTTTATCTCCCAGTTGTTCAACCTGTGCTGTACCTCTGATGATCTCATTCCTAATCTTATCCATCCTTGTCACTCCTAAGGAGAACCTCAGCATCTTCATTTCTGCCACTTCCAGTTCTGTCTCCTGTCTTTTTGTCAATGTCACTGTCTCCAGAACATACAACATAGCTGGTCTTACCACTGTCTTGTAAACTTTTCCTTTGACCTTTGCTGACACCTTTTTGTCACAAATCACTCCTGAGACTTTTCTCCATCCACTCCATCCTGCCTGGATTCTCTTTTTCACTTCTTCACCACACTCCCCATTTTCCTGGACAGTGGACCCCAAGTACTTGAAGTCCTGCACCTTTGTGACCTCTGCTCCTTGTAGCTTCACTGTTCCACCAGCCTCCCTCTCATTCACACACATGGACTCTGTCTTATTACGGCTGACTTTCATTCCTCTTCTTTCAAGTGCATACCTCCACCTCTCCAAGTTCTCTTCCACCTGTTCCCTGTTCTCACCACAGATCACAATGTCATCTGCAAACATCATCGTCCATGGGGATTCTTGCCTGACCTGACCTTATCTGTTAGTCGGTCCATCACCAGAGCAAACAAGAATGGGCTCAGGGCCAATCCTTGATGCACTCCCACCTCCACCTTGAAGCTATCCATCACTCCTATAGCACATCTCACCACTGTCCTGCTGTCCTCATACATGTCCTGTATCAGTCTAATATACTTTTCTGCCACTCCAGATTTCCTCATGCAATACCACACCTCCTCCCTTGGCACCCTGTCATATACTTTTTCTAAATCCACAAAGACACAATGGAGTTCTTTCTGACCCTCTCTGTACTTCTCCATCAGCATTCTCAAAGCAAAGATGGCATCTGTGGTGCTCTTTCTTGGCAAGAAACCATACTGCTGCTCACAGATAGTCACCTCTCGTCTAAGTCTTGCTTCCACAACTCTCTCCCAGATCTTCATTGTGTGGCTCATCAACTTAATTCCCCTGTAGTTGCTACAACTCTGTAAATCACCCTTGTTCTTAAAAATGGGCACCAGCACACTTCTTCTCCATTCCTGAGGCATTTTCTCACCCTCATATATGCCATTGAATATTTGAGTCAACAATCTCACTGCCATCTGTCCAAGACATTTCCAAACCTCCATTGGTATGTCATCAGGTCCTATTGCCTTCCCCTTCTTCATTCTTTTCAGAGCTTTCTGGACTTCACCCTCACTAATCTTTCCCACTTCCTTGTCCACAGTTTCTATGACCTCTACTCTTCTTTCTCTTTCATTCATTAGCTCCTCTAAGTACTCCTTCCATCTTCCCGTCACACTCTCCTCACTTGTTAGAACATTACCATTCCTATATTTAATAAGCCTAACCTGCTGCACATCCTTTCCAGCCTGATCCCTCTGTCTTGCCATTCGGAACAAGTCCTTCTTGCCCTCTTTTGTGTCCAGTTTCCCATACAACTCATCGTACGCCCTCTGCTTTGCCTTAGCTACTTCCCTCTTTGCTCTATGTCCCATCTCCTTATATTCCTGCTTCCTCTCTTCAGTCCTCTCACTGTCATATTTCCTCTTGGCTACTCTATTTCTTTGAACGGCGTCCTGCACTTCACTATTCCACCACCAGGTTTCCTTATCATCCATTCTCTGTCCAGATGACACAACAAGTACCTTATTGTTACAACTCTCACTTGTAAAAAACAAATAAATAATTAAATCAGATCTGGTGCTCAATTAAACGTTTTAAAGGGAGTTAATTGAAGATTTTTTTCAAATATAAATATTTTACAGAAATTCTACATCAGGTTATGTTGTAATTATTGAAACATTTTAATAAAAGACATGAGCTGAAAATGTTGACTTGATTTTCAGAAATTTCAAGATGATGAACCGATTTATCTTATGGTTTATCTTGATGTTAGTTTGGTTCCAGTATTTGTAGAATCTGCTTCATGTTGGCACCATGAGAAGACAGAAAATCATCAAAGTTGGAAAGATTTGTCAGGATAATGTGAAAGACTGATGGATAAGATGAACTAAACACCTGCAGCCACCGTGGACAGAAATCTGACCTTGATAGATTCAGAGATCTTCATAGACTCAGCACTCGTTTTCAACAAGGGACAAAATCCAGAATTTATTCAGAAATAGAGAAAAGGGATGATTAAAGTTTGTTTAAAAATCTGAACCTCTCAAAACCCAAGGAGGTTATTGTAGCCTTCCATGGGTCAAGAGTGGACCATGTCCCGTCTTCAGATCAGCAGAGACATGGTGAAGACCATGTCCTCTTTCGGTCTCCTGGGAATCCACATACCAAAGCTGACCAGGTCTGAACACAACCTGAGGATCCTCAGGAAGAACTGGATTAAAAGCTGCTGGTGACCTTCTATAGAACCACCATGGAAGGGGGAATCTCATACTGCATCTCTGCTGGTATTCTGGGAGCTCGGCTGCATACAGGAAGTCCCTGCAGAGGGTCTGAAACACAGCCCAGATAATCATGAGCTGCCCTCTGTCCACCCAGGAGGATATCATCATCTCCAGATGTCTGAGAAGGTCCATCCCAGCCAGCTCATCACTTGTTTGAACAGTTGAGCTCTACAGGTCAGTAAATACCCGTACATCCAGACTAAAGTAGAGTTTCACTCCCTGTGCCATCAGAACACAAAATAACCCCTGACCTCACCATTTCCTGACTCGTATGCATCACAGTATTCTGCTTGTGAAATTTAATATTCTGTTCTAGTCATAAACAGTTCACACTCGTTCTACAGAAAAGTTTCTTCCAGTTAAGGCAGCTTAAATCAATGCGGACCTTGAAAAAATAGTCCATTTGTATGTACCCGACTAGGCTACTGTAACTAATGCTGGGGTCAGTCCGGTGTCCCTTTGGGCTCCAGCTCATCCAAAATGCTACAGCTCGGCTATTAACAGGAACTAGGTTTGATCATATTTCACCAGTATTGTCCTCCCGTCACTGGCTCCCTGTACGTATCAGAAATGATTTTTAAATTCTCCTGTTGACCTTTAAGTGCCTAAATGATCTTGCACCCCCATATCTCTCTGACCTACTTCCACCTTCTTTTCCTTCTCAGGCGCTGAGATCATCAGACCAGCTGCTTTTGGCTGAAGCTCAGAGGAGATCGAGCTTTTTCACTCGTGGGCCCTAAACTTTGGAACAATTTGCATTTTAAATGTGCTTTATAAATAAACTTGACTTGATCAATTGAAAATTAAAATTGATGCTACAACTGATGTGCACTTCGTCACTTTAACTGTTTGAAAAGGAAAGTGTACAGATTGTGTTGTGTTTGATATATTATGTTTTATATCGGGATATGCACCTGTATTTTCATTATACGTGACATGTAATAAGACAATAAAGCTATTCTGTTCTATGAAGCTGAGTGATCCAG